CACCTGCCGATTATTGTTACTTTAATTATTGTGTTACTTTAATTATTGTTACTTTAATTATTGTTACTTTAAATCGGACGATTTTCGGTGGGTTGGTGGCGTGGTCGGAAGAGGAATGCCGCACGGGCAAGTGTGTGCAAGCGCACAATGCCCGCTCAGCATTGGAATCATCGGAAGCCCTCCCCTCAGAGGGGTTGACACAGAATTGACTGTCAGTCATTTTGGAGTCACCCCCTCTTATGGTGTCCCCTGGTGTGGGCCGCACCCCAGACTGAGTCTTTTGATTTCGTTTTTTTGCTACATGATTTTGGAAAAATGAAGAAGATGTAAATGTATTTTTTTTTCACAAAGTTGTCAGTTTAATATGGTATTTCTCATATACAGCATTTGCATAATTAGAGTTACTTCCTAAAATTTAAATGGCAAGACTAATACCATAGTGAGGTATGGTAGCGCCAGAAGAAGTCCACAAATGTCAGGTTGAAAGGGGCAATAGTAATGTGTGTCATGCCTTTTTCCATCTTTTGCTGTATAGAAGACACTTTAACATCAGGGAAGTGTCTCTTAGGCAGCCTATTGGATGCATCTGATTGAAACCTTGAGGTGCAGGGTCATCCTACTAAACTAGGTCTGTTAAAGTTCAACTTTGGGCACAAAAATGTTTTGTTTAAATCTATTCCTCGAAAGCCACAAAGGATATAAATCCACTTTGTGTGCACCAAATGCCCTTATGAATCCAGTTACTTACACTATATTATCAAAAGTATTGGGACGCTTGCCTTTACAAGCACATGAATTTTAATGGCATCCCAATCTTAGTCTGTAGGGTTCAATATTGAGTTGGCCGACCCTTTGCAGCTATAACAGCTCCAACTCTTCTGGGAAGTCAGTCCACAAGGTTTAGAAGTGTGTCTATGGGAATGTTGGACCATTTGTGAGGTCAGGTACTGATGTTGGACGGGAAGGCCTGGCTTGCAGTCTTCGCTCTAATTCATCCCAAAGGTGTTGTATTGGTTAAGGTCCAGACTCTGTGCAGGCCAGTCAAGTTCCTCCACCCCAAACTCGCTCATCCATGTATTTATGGACCTTGCTTTGTGCACTGGTGCACAGTAATGTTGGAACAGGAAGGGGCCATCCCCAAACTGTTCACACAAAGTTGGGAGCATGAAATTGTCTAAAATGTCTTGGTATGCTGATGCCTTAAGAGTTCCCTTCACTGGAAGTAAGGGGCCAAGCCCAACCCCTGAAACACAACCCCACACCATAATTCCCCTCCACCAAACTTTACACTTGGCACAATGCAGTCAGGCAAGTACCGTTCTCCTGGCACTCGCCAAACCCAGACACGTCCATCGGATTGCCAGACAGAGAAGTGTGATTCGTCACTTCAGAGAACACGCAAAACAAATGACAAACGCACTCAACAATTTGTCACCAGCTATACAGTAAGGTGCACACGAAATGGGCTTTAAACAGTAAAACAGTAGAAAGGCATCATGGCACACTCACAAGCCAGCATACCTTGATACCTTTCTACTGTTTCCTTTCTACTTCCTCCTGGCAAACCTGCATCCAATTTGAAATATTCTGCCCCCATGTGCTCCAAGATGGAGACTCTCATAGTTTAGAGTTAGGACCGCACTATAAGAGGTGCCTTGGCGCGGCTGTGCGGCTTTCACATTTTCTGCAGAAGACGTGTATCCAAACCTCTGTTATTAACCTTAGTGGTGAAACACGTTTTTTTACATGCTGGCTTGTGAGTGTGCCATGATGTTGTAGTGCCATTCTGAAGGCCACACGAAATTTGGAGGTCTGTAGCTATTGACTCTGCAGACAGTTGGTGACTTCTGCGCACTGTACACTTCAGCATGCGCTGACCCTGCTCTGTCATTTTACGTGGCCTACCATTTCATGGCTGAGTTTCTGTTGTTTCCAGATGCTTCCACTTTGCTATAATACCACTAATAGTTGACCCTGGAATATTTAGTAGCAAGGAAATTGCATGGAATACCTGAATCCAATGTTTGGGAGCAGTGCATGAATACTGTACTGAGCAACCCCTGCTACGGTATCCAATGTGGATGTGTGAACCTTCGTTTAAATAAAAGTGGGCTATCAAGTTCTTAAACAAAAGACATTGCAAGTGGACTGCATCTTCAAAGCTCTTACCATTAGACATGTGCACCAGCAAAAAATGTGTTTAATTTAGTTTCGTTATGATTCGGATTTTGCTTTATTTTGTTTTTCGGATTTCGGATTCGGACGGAAATCCGTACGAACTTTCGTTTCTTTTGTATTCGTTTCGTTTTCGTTTCGTTCGTTGCAGCAAAGTGACATTTAATAGGGAAAAAAAGTTTTTTTGTTCTCAAATGTCACTATGCTGCAACAAAAGTTCATCCAAAAAATGAAAGTTCGTCCAGAAAAAAACGAATCGGAAATTCCGAAATTTCGTCCGAATTTCGATTCGGAACAAAACAAATCGCACATGTCTACTTACCTTATTTCCTAATATCCCCAAACATCACAATGTTTAAAAGGTCTAGTCAGAATAGCAAGTCCCATATCCGACTGTATAATTATAGTGGTACGGGGGAATATGTGACTCAATCCCTTTCCTCCCATGATACAGTGCTGGGTGCCTGAGCAGCCAATCAATGGGTGCCAACAGTATGACATGGGGCAGAGAGAGATTCCCAAGCTCTGTGTATGCTCCAGCAGATATTCTTGTCTCTACACAGGGGATCTGGATGGAGTTGCAAGAAAGACAAGTATAAGCAGTTATTGCATTGCTTTGCCTGAAACCTAAGACGCCATGCTGACTATGACTAATAGATAATGTACCATACACATTAAGCATATCATACAGTAGCAGTATGCAAGCAAAAACAATTGATATAAAATGTAATTTGTATACAGTTAGGTGAACATAAACTGACTATAGTTAAACACTGGACTGCCACTAGACAAGGGGCATTGTTTGTTGACCACTGCAGAGGTTATAAAAGTTACAGGCCCGCCTACCTACCTACCTTTTGGTAGGCGGGCCTGTAACTTTTCGGCACACCCACAGTCTAACGATTATCTGCACCTCGGTTTGTATAAGACGAGTAAGCAGTTGTCTATTTGTTTTTAATAACGCTATGCATAGCGTCTATGTGACTCAATAAATTTTAATTACACTACGAGTTCCTCGTTCTGTTCTCTATCCTTATCTCCTCGGATCCTATTAACGGATAAAACGGATAAGACGTTTTTTTCGTTCTTCTTGGTATCCGCACCCCTTCTGAGATCTGGTGCTGGGACAATCCTTGGAAACTGCACAAGAAAGTAATCCACGATTAAAATAAAAGTTCTCTTTGTGGATATATTAAGACTGGGAGCGGACCGCAACATCCTATTGGAAATGACGGATAGGAATACTGACCCCCTTCACCTTTCTGGAGAAAAAGACAGCCTTTACTTCCCCGACATCTGGTGAGTGCATTCCCTTCGGGGGTCCTCTTTTTCCCCTTCTTCTGACATATCACTCACCTTGATACCGGCAATTGAGATATATCTTCCTGGTTCCCCATCAGTTTATGAAATTGGCCGGTCCAGGAGTGGGACATTATCGGACATATTATGTTTATTGTCTATTTATAAATCTTTTCACCCTTTTTTATATACATATTTATAATGGGCCTGTGCAGGATCTGTGGTGGGCTCTGCCCACCATAGACCCCGCAGAGCTCACCACAAATCCTGCTAAGCCCCCCTGAGACCACAGCTTTCCTGCTATGCTAATAGCAGAACATGTCAAAAGCTGGATACAGTGTTTGCAGTGTAGCCAGCGACTGACAGGTCACGCAAAAAGTATTAAACAGGAAGGGGTGGGGTAAATTTAGTGGAGGTGGGGGCGCCCAAGTTTTGCCTTGCCTAGGGCAGCCCCAAACCAGAATACACCACTGCGTTCAGGGACCACCAATTGAAAAAGATCCAACTGACCCGGATCGCCTTGGTATGCGATCCGGGCCAGTCACAATTAGGCAGCGGCAGCCAATAAACAGGTAGGTTACACGGCTGCTTCCTCCTCGCTAGGACCCCGGGAGGCCCCCGCAAGCGGCCGTCTAATCTGCCTGTTTAGAGGTCACCGCCGCTGCCTGACTACAGAGGCGATCCGGGACGTTCAGGTCCCCCGTGAGAGCCGTACAGGGCCGTTAGGCAGTGATGTTGAACGTTTCTTAAACCCGAGCGCCCAAACTGCAATACCAAAAGGTTCGCCATCACTGTTACAGTATATACTGTCTATTCTATCCATATCTCTATAATCAGATTTTAAATGTAGGAATCCAGGCTCAAACTGAAAGGACACCCAACCTGACCTGTGTCCAAATGTACATGAAGAAATTGAATGCTCTTATTTTACTGTTTTCTTTGTTGGGATTTAACTAAAATATGTATAGTGTACAGGACACCGCGGCTGGGTCCTGGAAGGACGCTATATTTCCCCTCTGTTTGGACTGTGGTCCCTTTGAAGGGTGAGACGGGGTTAACTCACCTGCTGGAGGAAGAGTGGGTTTAAAAGACAGGAAGTGGTAGCTAGCAGGTGAGGAGTAGTGTGGAGGAGATTGGAGAGTGGGAATCTGTGTACTGCTGTGTGCTTATCTTGCTTGAAATCTGTAGACTGGGAAAGTTACCCTGGAAGTCTGGGACTGTTTAAACTGCGATTGCAGCTCTGAAATCTTCATGTCGGTGAGACTGTTCTTTTGTGTTGTACTGAAGAGTTGCTGTTTGAGTTGGCCAGCTGGTCAGTGAAGATGCCCTGTGTTGTTATGTTGCTGCTGTGAAGCTATTTCAGTTAATAAACTTTACTTTATTTGCAAAGCCTGTGTCCTGCGATCCTGCTGGATTCCCCTAACATTACAATAGCTATCTATAATTTTGCACATTTAGTACACATATTGGTCATATAATATCTTGTATTATGTTTGCATCACTTTATTGTTTTCTTGCTTTTCTAGGTCTAGCTTCATTGGTTATCAAGCCTTCTGGGAATGAAATTGTGGTACAGAATGGTGAACCTCTCAATTTAACATGCACTGGAAATGAAAATGCAAAATGGAATTTCACAAATGTTCAACAGAGATTACTTGTTCAGAAAAAAATTCAAGTAGTAAATAACACAGTAAAAATACCAAAAGCCGGTTACAGCAATGTTGGAACCTACACATGCAGTTCCAACTCTACTAATTCGTCAGAACAAGCATCAGTGCATGTCTTTGTAAAAGGTAACATTTGTACTGTCAAAATTTTTTTTACAGGGGTATACAGCAAACACCACACATCTATCTCCAGTGTCTACTGTACAATCATTGATGGAGAAGTCCATTGAAAAAAAAGATTTTTCTGTCAGCCAATAACAACCTTGTTTTGGCTGCCCCCACGGAAACACCCATTCAAGCTCAATCCAATTTTATCTCACTTTCTCTAAGCTGGGGATTCAGTCAAGTATTCAGGAAAAACTACTTTCTCCTCATTTACCTTTGCTTAGGATATTGAATTGCCCTCTATTTCCCCCAAACCGTGGGAATATATCCCAGTTTAGATGGTGGATTAACCACAGCTTCAAACATATCTACTTGTTACTGACCTTCACGGGTATTAAAACCTTTCAACAGCTACAGGACTTCAATGACATCCCATTTAGAGAACACTTTAATCTGCAAATACATAACTTCATAAATAACTAATCTCCTCTTCTTACTACAGCTTATGAACAGCATTGCCATAATGAATCACACTCTCCAGACCTCGTTTCTTTAATTTTCATCTCCATTAGATCTTCCACAGTACATAGCCCAGCAACTTTTCAAACAAAATGGAAAACAAAGCTGGGAGAAATATTCCAGCCAGCAGACTGGCATGAGATCTGGGTCACATTTGCCAAAACCTCTAGGAACATCCTAGCACTAGGAAATTGCTACAGTCCTCAATAGATGGTATTACACCCTCCCCATCTGGTCAAATATGTATTCAATTACCCATCTACATGTCTCAGGGGCAGTCCTAAACCAGGCACCATGGAACACATCTGGTTAACACTCCGAGTTAACAGATTAAGTATAAGGATATAAAACCTCATTGGCTTCCTTTTAAATACTAATTGACATTACAATCCATGGGAAGATCTTCTTAATAAGCCTATCCCTGGAATTTGTTGGAGAGAACCTTAATTACAAGTATCTTTAGAGCCACACCCGGCTAACCATTGCCAACCATTGCTAGAGTCTAGTAAATTAATCGTATAATGAACCATGAGTAACACACACAAACAATTCAAAGTATTTAAGGTATTGCAGCCTTGGAGATCAGGTACACAAATGACTTCTTTCTAACTATTTGAACAGTAGAGGACTCTTGGACTCTTATAGCCCTATAGTCCTTCACCTTTTTTCCCATCTTTCTTTTTCTCTCTCCTCCATTCCTCTTCATCTTCTCCCTCTCCGCTCAAACATCCAACCTTTTCCTAAACCCTTCCTTCCCCTCCACATCCCCCTCTTCAATTCCCTCCCCTCCCCCACCTGAATGCCCTTCTTATCTGCTTTCTCTTTCCCCTACCACCTCTTCTAATGGGCAAAACTTAATGACCCCTCTAGAGCACCTTCTGGAGTCCAGTTTACAACCAAGTGGCCCATCAAATCCAACCTGCTCTCCCTAATAGTTTGGCCATGCCTCAATATCTCCTCACTCTCTTAGAGAACCCTAACACCCCTTGATGTTACTCTCCCTCACTGCACCACTATCAGTGATAGGCATACGTCTATACGTCTTTCTTGTGAAAGAAACAAAACATTTTGAATGAACTTCACTATCAATGAGCTGTATAGTAAACCCAACTCACTGAAAAGACTCAGAGAAGGTAAAATTGTAACACATTACCATGTTGTCATTTTATTGAGTACAATGAATGTATTTTTTTTTTTTGGATAAACAGAAATTCATTCAGGTAACTAAAAGTAAAAAAGTGATGTTATGCCATTCCGTCTTTTTTGTTGTTGTTTATTTATATATTTATTTTTTCTGAGATGTTCTAGGCAGGTAGTAAAAGTATATTTAGTAACTTTCTAACTTTTGTAAATTGTCATTTTTTATGGTTATAATGCTGCAATTTTAGATGGGTAGGTGGGGCAATATTTTTTACAGAAATATCTTTTATTAAAGTTTTGCACAAAGAATAAATCATAGAAACATACAAAAAAAGAAGGGGGGAACAAACCACCCTTACAAAGGCAGCAATAAGTGCGCATTGTAAAAAATAATAACGTGGCAACAATGAATGCCAGCATCAAATATGTAAAATTTCCCTAGAGCGAGACTTACCCCGTCTAGATACCTAGCCCTATCAAGGGGGACTCAGGTGCAATGGCCCATGCTGGATGAGACCAACTCAGCTGAGGTGGGTGAGACCCTGGGCCTCCTGCAGCCAACTAGAAACATGATATCATACGAAGGGCAAGATACCAGTAACAGGTGAGGTAGATTGCGTCACCTAAAGGCCACCTGGCAGTAACGACATAACATAGACACACAACAAACAAGACAAGGATACAACAGAGGAAAAGAAGAGACAAAAGGAAGAGAAAAAGGGAGGGTAGGGGGATATTACGTGTTCAATGAGAATAGATCATGCCTCTAAGCCATTGCCCTAAACTCATCTGATGCCATGAACAACATCCAGGGCCTTCATCTGGACAGGAAGGTCTCAGACCTGTTCGGCCAGCAGTTCCTCAGATCTCATTATGCGGCATAGTTCCGCTGTCCATTCCTACAAGGTAGGGATCACCTGGGAGTTCCAATGCCTGGGGATCAGTGCCTTGGCAGCATTAACAAAAAATCTCAGGAGGTATTTCTTTGCTTTGGAGATGGACCCTGGAAAGATCGACAGTATGGCCATTTGGGGCGTGAGATGGAGTTCGCTAGCGGTCATTTTCGAGTATACATGTGAGATACGTGTGCGCCAGTAGGGTGCAATCAGAGGGCAGCTCCACCAAATGTGTGTTAATGTGCCAACGTCCGCTTGGCATCTCCAGCAGGTGTCCGGAAGCGAGGGAAAAATCTGGTGCATCCTAGCCGGAGCCCTGTACCATCTGGTTAGAAGTTTGTAATTGCATTCCTGCACCGCTGAGGACATGCAGAGGTTATGTGTAAAGCAGAAGCATTTCCGCTTGTCCTCCTCAGAGAGTACCACGTCCAACTCTCTCTCCCATGCGGAGAAAAAGCAAGGAGGGCCCTCTTCACGGCTGCAAAGTGTTGGAGTTGGTGGTAAGCGAACCAAGCAGCCAACGGTACAGGGTCAGGATCAAAAAAATGAGCCAGGGGTTTAAGAGTTCCCCCACAGATGCCCCGGAAAATGTACGAGGGGGCCGTTAGCTCCCAACTTAGGAATCGCCTAACCCCACATCCCGGAGGGAACTCCGGGTGGGCCAGGACTGGGGTCATCAAGCTCTGAGGAGTGGACAGTTTGTACTTAAGCATCATAGAATCCCATACTTTGAGCACCGAAGAAAGAAAAAAGGGCAGTGCAGAACTGGGGGGACGACGCGCAGATGGAAGCCAAGGGAGATTTGTTAGAGGAGTCGGAGTCAATTCCCACTCTAGGGAAACCCAGATAGCTGGGTCCCTGGTATCAAACCACTCTATCAAGTGTGATAAATAGACCTCCAAATCCGCCCCGTTCCCTCCGCATTGTGAGGACTGTGTATCGGATCCGTGGTTTGTGACACCTCCAGATATAGCGTAGAGTTGCAGACCGTAATCTGCTGAAGAAAAGGGCAGGGAGACGAATGGGAAGGGTTTGAAACAGGTAGAGGCAACGAGGAAGTAGGTTCATTTTAAGGAGGGCTATTCTGCCAAACCAGGTGTGGTGAAGGTTCATCCACGTGAGAAGAGTATCTTCAATGGAGCATAGTAAGGGGGCATAGTTCAAGGAGTATAGTTCAGCGGGGTCTGCCGGGATGCGGTACCCCACAAAAGTCAGCTGATCAGGTGGGGCAATATGAGCATAAGCAGACTATGCATGTTTTGTGTCCCTAGATAAAAAACTACTAGAAAGAAACCACTGCAGGCATATAGTCCATTCTCTAAAGGTGCCTGCTCTTATATATCTACAGCATCTTCTAAAAGCCCTTAGATAGAAAGTGTTGAGGCTTGCTCCATCACATATTATATTTTTTATATACTGGCCGAAATTCGCAGTGTGTGGGGCTGTCGGCTCCCTTTTAGCCTGGCATCCCTCAATCAACTGATTGAAGGAGTCAGCTGAAAAATCTTTCTATGATCAGAGCCGGCAGCCAATGAGCTGCCCTCTCTGACCGGATATTCTGACAGGTGCCGGCGGTACCTCGATCGACATGCTGTTTGTGTTGATGGAGGAATTTTTTTCGTTCAGCCCGCGGGTTAAACGGAAACAATTGATAGGTGTATGGCCAGTTTTATGCATATCCAGAGACTTTTTGTAGCTGCTGTAGTTTTTTTCTAAAGACACCGTCCTTCTTTAGATAATGGTTTTCGACAATAATAGATATAATTATTTTAAATATCAGTTTATACACTTACAAAAAACAAACCTGTACACATGCGTTAACATGCATTAAAAACCATAAGTGTGAATGGACCCTAAAAACCACTGAAATAACACCAAGTTATGTTCATGCTTTCTTTAATAGATGCAACAAAACTGTGGAACACATTGACAAACACAGTGCGTATTGATGAAGATGAAGATGCCCTTCTTCCATGTCTGTTAACAGATCCATCTCTTGCCCTACATGAAATTTCTTTAACACCTTTAATTGATAGGAGCCCCAATGTATCATTTGATGCTAAGAAAGGATTTTACATCTACAATGTTCAGATGGCTGATGAAGGAGATTACTTTTGTCAGGTGAAAGGGTTTCCCAAAGGCTCCAGCAAAATTAAGCTGATTGTCAATGAAGGTAAGCTGGAAATTCCATTATAAGTATTTAGGGATGATCTAAGGAATAGTACAAGAGATATAAAGCTATGTCCAGGCAAAACTCTTATATATATAAATATATATATTTATTTTATTTTTTGGTAATTTCCACTTTTAGGGTTTCTTCCTTTTCAGTAGGCAGCAAACCATTATCAATCTTCCTTTGCTGGGGGTATATGAACAACAAAACACAGCATTAGCCTTTCAACTACAAGTCTTTCCTTGAGATGCCACACTTTTAGTGTTACCACATTCTCATGGTTACTCACAGCATATTCACGATTACAGCAGTTAAAGTTGAAGGTGGATTATTACTCCAGTCCACTATTACTTCTCTACTCACAGATGTGTGCACACTCAGGGACACCAGCTCCCAGGGCCGGATTTACTCTGTCTGCTGCCCCAAGGCCGGGTTCCTCAATTGCCCGAAGCAGGGCTAAATGTAGAAACAAAACTACCCACCCGGCTACTGTGCTGCCCCTCTACTTCCTGCTGCCCCAAGGCCGGGCCTCGGTGGCCTTGTGGGAAATCCGGTCCTGCCAGCTCCACCGAGGCAGGGCCTTGGTGGCCTTGTGGGAAATCCGGTCCTGCCAGCTCCACAGGCTCTGCTCTGAGCAATGTTCCCAAATGTCAGCTGAACCTTTCTTTTTAATGAGGCTTGAGGTAGTTAAAGACCAAAGGCAGTCATAAAAATATATATATGTGCAGTCAGATACTATACTAACAATAAACTATTTTCATATTCTTACCTCCACTTTCCTGTTACAGCAATTGTGCTGGTTGTCTTAACATAACTGATATAACATAACAAACATAATCTAGGCACAGGAGTTAGACCTAGTGCACTCAGTCATCAGCACTCAGAAACAGGCCTGGTCTGATTCACACACATAGTAGGCCAATTTAGACAGAACACAATTTACCTTCCAGCATGTCCCTGGGGTGTCAGAGGGAACCGGAATTCAGGAGAACATGCAAATTCCATTCAAATAGAGTCCTAGCCAGGATTTGAGAACCCCAGTGCTTCAAGGCAGAACTGACAAACACATACAAAGTGTGTGTACTGAATACATTTTACTAACTTTACCAATATAATTAGGTATTTTGGCAATTCTACTTTAATGTAATCTATTGTCATACTTCAAATGGGCCTTGTATAATTTTGGTTATGATGGCTGTGAAGCAAAAAATCTAATTGTTCATTTATTTTTGTATAGTTCCTAAAGATTTCCCATCTGTCACTCTGTCATCATTGGAGAATATTAGAATTCAAGGGGAATCCTTCGAGATTAAATGTACATCAATTAGCACTATCATGAACTCTCAAATCACGTGGGAACACGCAGGAAAAAATGTAATATGAAAGAAAAAGTTTTGTAATATGTTTAGCTTAAGTAGGAAATGAATTGTAGTTAACAGTGTTTATCTTCTAAAAGGTAACAAAAGACCAGAAATATCAATTCATTGAAAAAAATTGGATCGTTGAATCCACCCTACAAATTCTAAACGTGGACTTCAGTGACAGCGGGCACTACACGTGTACCGGAGACCTTGGAGGGAAATCCAGTAGGGTTTCAGCCAACCTGCAAGTTATAGGTACTGTAACATGACAGCTCCCATTAACAACACAACCAATCATTTAATGCATGTATACACAGGGGAAGGGGGCTGCACATTAGAAACAATAAATAAATATATGTGGATCTCCTAAATGAATATTCAAAAGTCTATTTCCCCTTTAACAGAGATCCCAACATAGAATGATAGTGAATATCAATTTATATTCAATGAAAATAGTTTTATTCCAAAAATTTGCAAACAGCATAAATACACATTGGACAAACATCTAAAATCCTAAAAAGTACCCTACACATGGCTCTGTACAAATGCAATAATCATGGACAACACCATATATATATATATATATCAATATAATATCGATCCCAATCGTGACTGGTGGCCACCAGCAACAGTATGCCCAGGATGGTTAATATGATACAATTGTTAAAGTTATCCAACAATGTGTCTCCAGAAAAAAACCTCAAAAAAACAAAAACAAAATTGGAGTGAATGAATCAGCATGCAGTGTCACTCCTTGCATTTAGGCATAGCGTATTCACCAGCAACTATATAAACCTATATGAACAATCATTTAATGCCTCCAAATTAAAAATGAAATTGAAATGAAACTGCACTGGGGAGTGCTGTGTCTGGCAAAATCTTTTATAACATTTGGCGATCTGAAACCTCTAGATCCCAGCGCCATCTCCTTTCTACATGAATACTTTGGGGGTGATTTACTAACCTAAACACACGCACGCACCAGGTGCGTGTGATTTTTACACAGCAAAACGTATTTATCAACCAAAAAGTCTCTAAAAGCATATTTCCACTAATGCCATATATGGAAAAATCATGCACATGATGCATATATAATGCTGCTTCACAGTTTAGACAAAAATGGTTAGCTCATGCATTTACATTCCTTGCATTCATCAACGCAAGCAACACAACGTAGAGCTAATTTACACAAGATCACCTTGCAAATTCATGCAGGGCTTTGCACAACACACCTGCTGGGTGTGTACACACTACAAAGGTGTTTAGATTCCACCCATAGATCATGCTGGGAGGGAACACACTACAGAGGTGTATACATGTTAGTGGTGTGTTTATAAGGTTAGTAAATCAACCCCTTTGTGTTGCTTGGCAATATACATAGACATTAAAATATCATCAGACACATGGGGATTGTTTTATAAATGAATCATCATTACTGTCACAAGATGGAACTGAGGAGCAAAGGAATTTCCTATGCTCCTTGGCCTTCTCAGGTAAGTGGCAGGACGTATGGCTGGGTAGATGGTTTATAAAGAATCCTACAGACACATTCCAATCACCTGAAAATGTCTCTTGACACAGCTTTTGATAGAATATATGGCCAAATGTTTTTGAACATTTGACAATTACACCTACAGTATATGAGCTTGTTGGATAGTCCATTCCAAAACCATGAGCATTAACATGGATTTGCCACTATCCCCCCCTTTGTGGCTATATCAGCCTACATTAGAGTGCGAGTCTGTCAGAATTTGTTTCCATCTTACCATATAAGAGACTGCAGAATGTGTATTGCTTTCAGTCAGATAAACTGTGCATGGTAGAGGGGAAGTGAAAAAGTACATGAGGAAGTTCAGCTTATATATGTATAACGAGCAGCAAATATGGCTGCCCCTATGTACATAACAGTACACGTTTACAAGCTTCTCACAAAAATAAACTTTTTAAAGGATTAACACAGATTATTAAGATAATTTAGATAAAAATATTTGCTTTTACATGCATATAAAAAAAAGTCTACAGGACAGTGAGCACTAGACAGAATCTTGTGGGAGATCTCTCTATGTCCGTTTACATCCGATTCCCCATAGACTGGCATGGGGTTCAGTAATTTCAGTTGTTGTATGGACATGGATGTACTGCTCTGATCAGGGGAGGATCCATGCATGGATCATCTCCCGATCAGCCCGTGTGAAAAAAGCCTTAAAAGTACAAGCAGGTAGGATCACCTGAGATTTCTCTTTATCATCTCTAGGCAGCCAAATCTGCAACATATATGGCTATCCAGAGTGACTATATCTAACAGATCTGGCACATCAAAAAAGCCAATGCTTCCTATGTATGACCATATGAAAATGGCTGAAGACTAGGAATGTTGCTTATAGAGAAAATTAACTAGGTTGCAAGGGAATATAAGCATAACCATAAGCTATCACAGGATTTCGGAAGAAAGCAATACTAACATGTATTTAGCTGGTTCTTACTTTGAGCCACAGATGGTAGAAGGCTTTTTTTTTTCAGAGGTCTATTGCACCCCCGTAAAAATCAGATAGCAATGTTATTTTTTTAATCTTTACTTGGGTATTAGGCAGGCTTGGTTCAGATGGTCAGAATTAGCTGGCAGTGTGAGCTTTACTTCTCTCTTCTCACTGTGCTTCCTGTTCATTTAAAGGACTTGGAAAGTATGTGAGCATGGGAATTTAGTAATGACTACAGATTTGAAAAGTAGTTATTGTAATCATCTCAACAAAGTAGTTGGGGAGCGAAGAAAGAGTAAATATATGCTGGAGCAGGGGGATTAAAGAAAACTCATTGCTGTGCCCTAACTGTTAATTTATAACAGAAAAAAAATATATATCCATCTCCGCACAATCAATCACACCACTTTATAAGCACATCCTCCAAATGCCAGTGACTGGGTTATGGTGGGCAGGTAGGTTACTGCAGTTCAGACCCGGGGAAACCAAGACCTGCCACCCTGCTGGTCAAGGCAACCTAAACAAATCACTAAAATGTGAAAAACAAACATAACACTCAAAGAAGAGTGGAGAGCATGCATTTGCTTCATTAGTTCTACAGTAAAAAGAGGAGAATTATGAGATACTTATGTTTATGCAGTTGACAGTTATTATGTGATGTCAAAGTCCCAGTCTGAGAATAGTCCCTTTTAGTAGGCATGTCCCCAACAATCAAATGTCCAGTAGCTATACGCTAATAGGGCTAATATTCTTTAAGTTGTGTTTAATTGTCCAACAGAGTACAATTTTTTTCTATGTCTCTTTTAATGTAGAAAAAGCCTGCATTAATATCTCAACATCAGAAAATCAAAGTATTTCATTGCTTGCGGGTCAAAGTGTGGGACTGACAGTCATCATTGAAGCATACCCTGATATTCTATCCTGGAATTGGGTACATCACACTTCTGACAATGCACTGAATGTTTCCACACAAGGAAATATGCTGCCCAATGGATCTTACAGGTTTGACTTTAACACTATTCTAGTGTCTGATATTTATTATTATTCTCTTCCAAATATTGCTGTAGCTGATGTATCTTATAAAACCCCAGTCTGTATGGATAATATGGTTATTTACAAACGCAGCAAGGTCAGAGATAAATTGAACTCACCAGGAGTATTCACAAGTAGAATTTAGTGCAAGTAGTTTTCAGCTCACAAAGGAAGTTTTTCAAGTTTTTCAGAAGGTCAAAAGCTGCTCTGTGTTCTAGGCTGTCTATTTGTGGAAGGCTAACCCTAAACTGACTAATATAAGCATGAGATAAGAAGAGAAGAGGAGGGGGTGATATTCTGCATTCCTCTTCTAGGTGGACAATTCTGTTCCTCCAGAGCCGTGGTACGGTGTGTGAGAATTGTCACCCTGTAACAAGGAGTGTATTAATAGTAGAATTTCTATTACAAAAAAAAAAAAAAAGGAAAATAAGTCTAAAAAAGAAAACAAAATGTAGTAAATGTAATGACCAGTAAGTTGCAATATATGAACTTTGTGTCCGTGTGCTTAGATACACTAAGCGGTCTATTTATAAAAGGTTCACAGGGCTCTTTAAGGGAATAATGCCAAAAACAAATGTTCTTAATATATTTTTCCAGTTGAATGTAGTATATTTTAATACTACATTTAAGCCACTAGATGGAGCCGAGGACCATCGGAGATAAATACTTATTTTCTTTGCTCCTCAGCTCCAACTACTGTCCATAATGTATTATTACAACACAATACATTTGAACTGGAAAAAAAATAATTTAGAACATTTGTTTTTGGCATTGTTTGCCCAAAATGAACTTTCACAGATATCCACAGGGCAAATAGCTCTGTGAATCGTTTATAAAAAAAACCATTAATCTTTTAATTTTATGTCTGTTGTTTAAAGTGTAAAATTGTATACATATATAGCATATATAGCATTATTTTGTAATTGTTTTGCAAGGAGCACAAGCACTTTGATTCTAAATCGAATGCAGGAAAATGAAGAAGGAACCTATACCTTTTATGCAGCCAACTCACAGACCAATGCTTCTCTGTCCTTCAACATAATACTATACAGTAAGTAGTCCAACAAGATACAAGATCTACTCTGTAGCTGATGAGTTGTTAAATGCGGAGATGACTCAACCTGCAATCCTTTCCCCAAGAGTTTGAGTAATTCTTAAAAAGAATAGTAAATTACACTTTTTTTTCAAATTGAAATTAAAGGAGAACTATGAGGTGAGTGATTTTCACTCATCCTCATAGTTCGAGCCGACGTGCGAGATTGATACTGTAACACGACGGCTCTATAGATGGGGAAGTGAGACAAAACATACCATCGCTTGCTCACTTACTGATCATCTCCCTGCAGGGATTACCCCCTCCCCTCTCTGATCCTCCAGCGCTGACTGGAGGAACGGACAGGGAAGGGGGCGGGTACTGCTGGCTCTGCATCTAGATAGGCAGAGCTCACTCTCAATCAGCCAGCTGGGTGGATCTCGACAGTATTGTCGGGATCTGTCCCGGCTGCGGCGCTCTCAGTATATAGCGGGCAATAGATCGCTATATACTGAGCCTTGGGTCACGGGAGGGCGTTAGGATATGTCCTCCTATGACCTTAAGAGGACTATGGGATAAAAAGGTTACCCCATAGTTCTCTTTCAAACCAATATTTACTGATATACATGTAAAGGAAAATCATAAATGGCCTTCTAAATGCAAGAATTTGAATATGTGGTCTAAAGAGACTCTGCCACTTTGCCCATTCAATAAATCTGCCCCAATCTCTTCACATACACTATATGGCTACAAGTTTGTGGACACCTGAGCATCACACTTACACTATATGGCCATAAGTATGCGGACAACCCTTGACATTTCTGAGTTCAGGTGTTTCCTCTAAAGCAGTGGTTCTCAACGTCTCTAGGGCCGGGACCCCTTGGTAACATTTGCCAAGTTGTGGTGACCCCAATGGTAAAATTTAGGGTTGACGCGGCTGCTGCAGCGACATCTGTCTGCGTGGCGGGAGAACTGACACTGCTGCGCTAGGAGAGGGCTGAGGAGGACTGTCACCTAGCACAGCAGAAATCACACAGCGACCCCACAGGTTGAGAACCACTGTTGTAACAGCTAAAATGGCAAACCATATAATATAAGCCGAGGGTGTCAGCTTTTATTATTAATAATAATGATCATAATCACTAGATGTGTACCTGATGGAGAACTGCAGGTCCCCCTCTGCTGATTGACAGCAGCAGTGGGTGGGTGCAATAGCTAGTTTGCAATTGCAAAGTGAAATAGCCAATAGGAATGTAGCTATGCATTCCAATGCTGATTTATTTATTTTTTTCTGACTTACGGCGGCCGGGGCTCCAATGTCAGAAATAAAACAAAAACAAAAACGATCACAGCGAAAGGTTTACTCTGCTTGATCGAGCAGATTAAACCTTTCCGGGAGAAAGTGTTTCTCTCCCGGGCGGCCGGGAACGCTATCTAATAGCGGGAGACTCCCGGCGACCCCTGGCAAATTGTCATTCGACCCCCAAAGGGGTCCCGACCCACAGGTTGAGAACCGCTGCTCTAAAGGGTACTGTTAATGCTACAGCATACCGGGACATTTTACATATTTGTACTTCCAACTTTTTGGAAACAGTGTGGGGAAGGGGCTTTTCTATTCCAAAATGAGAGTGCCCCTGTGCACAAAGCCAGATCCTTAACCACTTGAAGTCTAGGGTGTAACACCCCCTTCCTCTCTAGGCCATTTTTCAGTATTCACCGCTGAGGTACTTTGACTGACATTTATTCAGCCATGCAACGCCATACCAAAATACATTTTATGTAATTTTTTTGGGAGAGAGAGCTTTCTTTTGGTGGTGTTTAATCACCATTGGGTTCTCTATTTTTTACTTTATAAAGAAAAAAGTACTGCAAATTTTGAAAAAAAAAACTGTATTCCCTACGTTACGTTTTGAAACATTTATTATTAGGCAATTTTTTAGTAAAATATAAAAGATGGGGTCACGTCACTGTAAAAAGATACCAAACATATCACGCTTGAAAAACGCAAAAAAACTACCATACCCAAAATTAGCCATAAACGACCCTTTAAAAGTTTTTACTACTCATCAATTAAGTTAACAGTGATTGATGACGCTAGAATTATGATGTGATGTGTAACATGTGCGGCATAATTGACATTTTCACACATAAGCAAGATCACAAGATAACAAGATTTTTTAGATGTAATTGTTATGTGTCCACAAACCTTTGGCCAAATAGTGTACCTCACTCCAGTAAAATCTGAATGGTTGGGTTGGGGTTACTGCCCTTTACCTATCACCACTGTTTTTTGCAGAGCCTTTTGTAAATAAGTTGAATAGTTTTCCATAACTCTCCTTCTAACACTGTTCCTGTATGTGTTCCAGAGCCTCCTAAAGTTGAAATATCCATAACAGAATTTAATGGGACCCACAGCGTGACTTGCAATGTAAAGGGGACCCCACGGCCAGAAATTCAGTGGTTGCAATGCTCAAGTACAAGGTGAGAAACTGAATGTAGCGTTTTGAAATTTATGCAAGTCATATATGTGATGTGAGCCTGACTAAATGATTTAGATGAGAGCTCTGCTTAATCACTTAGAAGTAAGTTTGGATGCAGATGTGCAGTATGATTCAATAAAATGATCATATTCAGCAAAGGGTTTACAAATTGTTAACAGTCGTAACAGAATAATAACACTTTGTGAGTAGCTGGTATATACTTGCAGCATGGGCTTTCTGCCAGGAGCAGGAGCTCTATGTTTACATTGAAAAGCTGGATGCCAGCCAGGTCACTGCAGGGTGACAGTAGATAAAGTTGCAAAGAATCAGACTACAATAAGACCAGAATGCCTTTCAGAATGGGTTTTCGGAATTATTGCTCCACAGTGCTTAGTGCTGCAGAGGTCAGTGGGGGCTTGTATTAAAGCCTAACTCCATATTTCCTCACCTACCCTCCACCACCTTTATTTCTTTAAAAAAATGTTTTAATCTTTTCTATGGGTGTTTGGACCAGTTGTATGGCTTCATAGGTCCAATTCCTCCTACAGCAATGGGTGGGAACTAAATGCTGCACAGAATGGTATCACCTAATGGGTTCCTTTCTTTGCAGCGTTTTCCTGTGAGCTCAGGGTGGCCTAATGACACACCCACAGGGAGGGGTCCTTAATGTGGAAGTAAACTGCTTTGAATGTTTTTTATCTTTGCCTTAACATACAGTTATGCACAGCATACTTGCACATTAGGACACACATCTTAAATGTGTGCCCTTCTCCAACGCTGTTGGATTGATCTTCGGTGCTCAGCGCTATCCCCCTATGCCGCCATCTCCACTGCTGACACTTCAGGGTTCTTGGAAGTTTCTTTTTAGCCATTGGGTGGCCATTGATGATGTAACTGCTGTGCATGCGCACAGGTGTTTCATCTTCCACAGCACCTGGCCGATTCACACCATTACATGCATGCATGCTCTGTACAGTATACACAAAAAATATAAAATCACTGGTGGAGAGAGGAAGACATTTCTGACAGAAGAGACTTTGCATGTCTCTTCTGCCAAAAATCCCTACTTCCCAGCGATTTTTTCTTTTTTTATCTTTGCTTCTGCTTTAACACCCCAGACTAATAAGAAGGGGGTTGAATTATGATGGATACCATCTAGCCCAGAAGGACCGAGCTGCGCTGTCAATCACTTATTTGGAGGAGTGAGGAACAGCGGAGGGAAGAGATTGGCATTACATCCTATGGACATAAGTAGGAAATGGAGAAGGCGTACATATTGCCAACAGGAGCGCCCACGCACAGGTTTCTCCACTAGAACCTTTTAAGGGGAAGGAGACACCTGAAAACCCAAACCAGGAGAGAGAGCATTTTTAAAAGGAGAAACAAAATTAATCACTGTGCTGGAAGGACAGGCACACAGCAATGATTGTAGGTGCTGAGCCTACTGTACTGTATGCATTTGACATCTTTAAGAATAAATTACTTCCCAATAAAATCATTTGGAAGGGTGAGAGGGGGCTTGTTTTAAAGCTTTTTTAATGTGTAAATAGTTTAATGTTTATAGTCTGGGCACATGTGCACTTTAAAGCTAATTTTCTTTTTGTTCAGAATATGTAAATACTTGAATGTAGCCTAAACACTGGTTCAGTTTAAATAAAAGTTTCCAGAAAATCTATTATCATCTACAATTCAATGACTCATTTTGCAGCTGTATAAAAGAACCAATAAAAGGTGAAGTGATTGATGTCCAACCGGGCGAAGTAAAAAGTATTCTGAACTTCAATGAGAGTGTCAGTAACATGACCATACTCTGCCTAGCTTCCAACCTTGCAGGGAACCATTCTGCTCCGGTTAAATTTACTAGCCATGTATATAAAGGTAAGCACCACACAAGCCATGTACTAAATTTTACAATTATTTTGTTTATCCATCAGTTTAAAAATATTTGAACCCAATAACAAAATGTATTACATTGTAACTTACCAGTCCTAAGTCCTCATTCACACCAATGTTTACCAGGAATGCACATCGAGCTTGCACGGTTTTGCACATGTTTTGTTCCCATGTTTTGAATTGAATAAATTGATGAGTGCTTTTTCCAATTGTTTCACTTGTTGGATTTGTTGTGGGGACACGTTGGGGTCTTCAGCTGCCATCGGGATGTGCTGGGCTTCTGGTGTGTCCCTGTGCTTTTAAGGAGGCTGGGCTGCCTCCTGGGGAACCTGCGCCCAATTCATCCTTTGCTATAAATGCTGCAAGATGGAGGCTCTCATAGATTAGAGATAGGACCACACTACACAGAGGGGCCTTGATGAGGCAATGTGGCTTCAGCATATTTTGCAAACGTTTTGCAACTGAAACCTCTGTTTTTAACCCTAACAGACAGTGTGATTTGTTTTTTTGCAGGCTAGCTGGTAAGTGTGCTGAGAAACTTTTCTTTTTGTATTGTATAAAGCCCTTCCATGTTTGCCTTACTTTAAAAGCTTGTTTTGAATTGATAAGTGCGTTTGCCATTCATTTCACTTGTTCCCAAGTTTTCTGCCTGTCCCCATTGGCTTCACTGGACTCCTGCACATGCGACAAACGCGAGAAAGTAGTGCATGTAGCAAAAAAGTGTTTTACCCTCCGCATTTGCTTTAAAGTGCATGTGTGTCCGGCCACATTTGGAGTGCCATTAACTAGTAATGACACAACCTGCACATTTAGCTTTTTTGACGCGTCTCGGGAACGCATGTCACATTTTTTGTGAATGGGGACTTAGATGTTGTCACTGCATCAGCTTTTATTTTTCAGGGTAATCATATTCTCTGCAAGTACAAAAAAAATAGCTGTTGATCTGCTAGAAATAGGTCAGTTTTGTCATCACCTTTTTTGGGGGTTGGAGATTTAACACAAAAGGTAAATAATTTATCACCAAGGCTGTTTGCATTAGATATAAGTTGTGTGTCCCTTTTTACATTACATTTTCTCTCCGAAACATATTTAGATCCTATAAATTGATGAATGTGAAATGAAAAGACTTAATTTTGACAGCTTAGAGTTCCCACTCTGAAGACGAGAATGGTCTCCTTTCACGGTGCATGTGATTTCCCAATACAGGAATGGACTATCCCTGAACAGAAGGCCCCTACAAGTGACCATCTTATGTTACTGGTCCATATATATATATAATTCTTACACAGATGTCACTGCAGCCTTATATTTATTTTAATCATTGTAATTGCTGATTTTACATATATCCATTGTACTGTAAAGATGGGCCTGATAGATCCAGAGAAGCTCTACCCCTCTAAATAGGACTGAAAGAACAGAGACAAAGTGAAGCAGCAGGGTGAAGCAGTGTAACCTGGAGGTCTTGGAGTTAAGTACAGGCTGAGTCAGGTCAGACAGGATGCCAAGGTGCAAAGTCAGAGGACAAGGTCAGGGCATGTAGCTCCAATTCTGCAGTCAGGTGACATAGTCAAGGTCCCAACAGGCAGAACACAGGTGCAGGTCAGGTTGGTAGCCAAAACTTCAAGACTTCAAGCTGAGACAGCAACCAGAAAAGTACAAGCTGGATCAAGCAGGAAGTTAGCAAAAGCAGCAAGGCAGCAAAATACAAGAACACAGATAGATGAAGACCATCCAGTAATTTACAAGGTCATTCTGGCTTCTTTTAATGTTAATACACATGCTCCTGCACCTAGTGCACCTAGTGCATTATTCAAACACATATAACACACCACAGTTTGAGTTCATCTTCTTAATCACACACATGTGTTTCCTTTGTCTTGCTTTCATGACAACCTGTTACTGTCCAATTATTAACTGCTCAATTTTCTATGTTCCATTGACTAAAAGTAGATAGTACATCAATTATAGAATGCATTCTTCTATTTTCCTGTATATGACAGTGTTGATAATAGTAAGGGTAGTTTTTCTGTTTATGTGCTGTATATGTTTATTTACCTGTTTGTGCTATGTTCATTTTGCTGTTTTCCATAGTAACTAAAGAGCCAGAGCTTCAATTCTTCAACACCTTATTGATCGCAATGGCCGTAGTTGGGGCTTTTCTTCTGCTGCTGTCAATGTTCTTGTTCTATAAGTATCAGCAGGTAGGTTGTAACTTGGTGTCAATTTTGCCAGTTTTGGATAAATTGTAAAACTCAGATTCACGTCTCTGGAGATTATCAAAAGGGTTGACTCTTTTCTAAAGCAATAACGTGGAATGCTAGATTCAACATAAAAATGATTGTGTGGCATTCTACTTTTTTTGCAATGCCAGCTGCAGGTAGCAACCGCTTTGAATTTCTGCTCAAACACAGGTCTAAACTGAGAAAAAAATGGCAGTTTTGCTATATGAAGCGGGTGGAGGACAGTAAACTAAATTTTGAAAGCCACATATGCAGCCTCTGTCTCCTTTGTAGGGACCAAAGTAACATTTTTTATTTTTTTTTGCTTATTGCATTTAAGTCCAAAAGATCATGCAGCACAGATTGTCATGATTTATATAAAGGATGCGTGCTCACAAACCAGCAAGGAAACCGTGTTCTAACTCTTGAGAAATCTCAGCTAGACCACTTTTCTGTGGAGTGCAGATTGGGAAAAAAGTCAGAATAATGGTTATAAAAATAGGAACAGAAACTATGAACGTCGAACTCGTTGTACCATAAAGGCAGCATTTCCAAAGGAGCAATGTCTCTTCTGCTTGCTGACATTTAAAAGTCATTAGAAAGTATATAAACAACTGCAAAATGAAAACTGAATGCAATTCAAACTTCTGCACTCTGTGTTCTTAAATGCCTATGTTGATGGGCTTTTGTTTACATCAAAACTGCTTCTCACCCCATACAAGTCTATAAGAATGCAAAGGCAGCTTGAAGAAGGTAGATGCAGCTTAGAAAGAGGTCAGATGGGGTCAAATAAAGGTAAACTGCAGGTCAAATGCACCTATCAATGGACTCTAACATTGTTATTCACAGAAGGGTGAAGAGTTTGGAGAAGGCAGGAGAAGTGAATAATCTAGGACAACGTAGCTGAACTGGAAAGGAGAATTTTTACAAATCAGCTATGTTGTCCTAGATTGTTCACTTTTCAGGCCTTCTCCAAACTCTTCACCCTTTTTTGAATAACCCTGCTAATGAGCGTACGAGTGTCTCAAACTGACTTTAAATGGAAGCTGAAAGCATGTCATACAAAATCCGTCAACACAGGCCCTTACTTGCCCACCAATACAATCCTAATCAGTCTGTCATGTGTTTGGTGTGCCCTTAACATTTCAAATCGGATGTGCTTTCACTGTTAGGGCTGACAGTCTGTTTACCCATCTATTCTTTGTTTGTAGCTAGTTAAGCTTTCTACCGATAAAAAACAGTGTTCTGACTCCAGTATTTCAGCCACTGCTTGTTCCTATGTTTCAACTAGACTTACTTGACTGCACCTGTATTGACTATAGCCTTGGTTCCTGTCTGTTTGTCTGTATTAGCTGAGACATGTTAGCCAACCACACCACCACCCCAATAATATCAGAACCTTAAGGTCTGGCAGGAATTTCAGAGGGCACCCCATGCAAAAAAAAGAGAAAAAGCGTGGGGTTCCCCTCTAAAATCCTTTACCAGACCTTTGATCTGAGCAGAAGCCTGGCAGGGCAGGAAAGGGGGGGGCAAGCATGTGACCCCCTGCACCATACCAGGCCATATGCCCTCAACATTGGGAGGGTGCTTTTGCCAGGGGATCATGTTGATGAGGACAAGGGCCTCTTCCCCACAATCCTGACCCGATGGTTGTGGGGTTCTGCAGCCTTATAGGAATCTTACATAAAAGGGGGCACTCAGATGCCACCCCTCTACTTGTAAATGAATGGGGTAGTTGTTACCCCTACTCATTCACCAAATACAGTAAAATAAGTAAATAATGTCTATTGATGTAATCCACACGTCAGTCATGTCGTCCAGCGATTTAGATCCCTGTCATTCACAATGCACGACAGCAGCAAAATGACAGCTCTCCTCCCGAAGGTCAACAAAGGGGCAGAGCAAGTCGTGACATCACAAGACTTGCTCTGCCCATTTGTTTACATCCCCTGACAGCTCTCGGTCCCCTAATGGAATGTAAGCAAATGAGTGGAACAAGTCCCGTGACGTCACAACTTGCTCTGCCCCTTTGTTGACATTTGGGAGCAAAGCTGTCATTTTGCGGCTGGTGTTCATCGCGATCGGTCGTGTAAGCGGGCGGCAGGAGTTTTTTCTTTTATTTGGCAGCCGTCTAGCATAAGTGATTGACGTGGATCTACAACGCTGGACGACGTGATTGATGTGTGAATGTGAATTGTCAAAAAACTATGTTGGTCTTTTTTTACTGTGTGGTGTGTTTATTTACTTATTTTACTATATTTGGTGAACGGGTAGCAACTACTACTTACTCATTCATGCAAGGGGGGTGGCATCTGGATGCCCCCTGTATGAAAGGTGGCACCCAGATTCCTACAAGCCCCCCTGCCTGCAGACTCCTACAATCACTGGGGTGATGCATCCTCATGACCGAATATGAGGAAATTCGTCCAAATTTTAATCCGTAACTAAATGAATCTTACATGTCTAATGATTCTGTCTATTTGTATGTGTATCCTGTTGCTCATGATTAGGATACTGCTCCTGTCCATCTATACTGGCACTGTGCCTGTTTCTTTCTGTGTGTGTGCAGTTGCCCAGCTAAGAAACCCTGCATCTCTTTTGAGGTGTTGTCCTGCCACACAAGTCCATCTAAACCATTAAAGATTTTTATTTTTATTTTAACTCCACTTATTTTATTTAATAATATTTTTTTGTTAACAAACATACAGTAATTATCACCTGGAGGCCAATCCTTCTTTTTCCAAATGAAATGGACAATAACTATTAAATGCCTAATTGCCCTATTAATTGTTATTAAGTATTATTTCCCCACCACCTCAAATGGCTAATTTTCTTGTCTCCTCTATAGATAGCTATTAAAACTCGCAGTTTAACCAGACTGAAGCCAGTGTTATATTAACAATGCAAATACCTTGCAAATCTTGTATCCCTCTATAGTTTGTAATTATATATGTATAAGGGGGCTGCTTTATATGATCCTTCCCATCTCATTCGTGACTGCAAAAAACAATAGGACAATCTGCAATAATGATTGGTAGCTATGGACCACATGATTTAGGACTTGTGTACACAGACCTCAAACCCAGAAGTCAAATGTGCTTTTAATACTTCTAAATTGCATTGGCTTGCTTCTAAGTTGCTTTGATCTGTCTTTGTGTTGCTGAAGGAATTGCTTCGAACCACTTCTTAGTAGCTTCCACCTGGTCCTGAATTGCTTTGACTTGTTTTCCATTCACATATGGGGAAGAAAAGAAGATTGTGGAAATGAGCCCTTAGGCTGCTAACCTTAGGGACGTGTATAGAAGTTTTTTTTTACTAATGACAACATAGAGGTATCCTATTATTGCATTTTATTATTAGGTTTAATTTACTATACAAGAAAATGTTCTTATTTTGTGGTCTAAAAAGATTCTGAACTGAATATATGAAATGCTGTTGAAATCTATTATGATTGTCTCCAGGATCTTTGGTAACCATTGGTTACAGATGGGGAAGAGGGCCTAGCTCCTGACTTTTAAAATGTGAAATTTACATTTAAATAAATGCACTGTTTAGTCTGCTTAGACTACACACCATTACCGTGTTTAATTTCACTCTTTAAACTTTATGTTTCTTCACACAACAGAAACCAAAATTTGAAGTTCGCTGGCAGATAGTTCAAGTGTCTGAAGGCAACCATTATACCTGTATTGACCCAACACAGTTACCATATAACGAGAAGTGGGAGTTCCCAAGAACAAATCTGCAATTTGGTAATTATGATAAGAAAGGAGACTGGTTACAGTATGAATATAATGATTGTGTTATTTTAGTATACCTATAGGCAACATCAGTAAAATGTTATACAGCTTGACTTTATTGAGCCCTATATGTTCTGGGGCCTTATAGCAGTACTCATGGCCACCCTTGCTAGTATATGTAAGAAATTCTGTAAGTAATTCAGTTTTAATGTCTGTATACTTAGAGGCAACACCAATTGCATCTAATACAGGATGACTCTATTAGGCCCCTTCTATTCCAGGGCCATATGGTAATTCCCATGGCTGCTCTTGCTTGTATTTACATAAACAAAAATAAATTCAGCGCTTATATCAATATATCTGAAATAAATGTCAAACAAATTTGATACAGCAAAACACTGTGCCGGAATCAGGTTCAGAATGCTGTGTATGTTTTGTATCTCACAGGTCCCATAGACTTTAGTATCTCATGGTTTACTCTGGGGGAAGTGTTGTTACTGCATGTACCTATTTTCAGCACTATCTAAAACTAAAGCTAAATCAGCACACCTGCACTTTTTTAGCTTAGCAGCACAATGTTCCACTTCCCCAAAATCTTGCTGTACTTGCTTATTTCTTGTGGTTTGTGCAAAAAAAGAGAAGTGTGAAGCCTGCAAAGTAGATGGAGTTTAATATCTGTAAATCTCGCACAGGAAAGACCCTTGGAGCCGGTGCATTTGGGAAAGTCATGGAAGCAACAGCCTTTGGGATGGGGAAAGATGACTCTGCTCTAACAGTAGCTGTAAAAATGTTAAAACGTGAGTATAAAATACCTGGTATGGCTGTGCTAATAATACCCATATCACATACTAGGTTAACAGTAACACTCTGAGTATTTGTTTTCAATGACAACTCATTTTTGTTTATTTTTATGCCACAAATTTCATAGCAAAACACATACAAATGTAAAAATATATTTAAAAAATACAAAAATACAATAATAATAAAAAAATACAATAATAAAAAATAATTGCTGTGTGCAATACACACTAGCAGTGTCCATGTATAATAACCTTAACAATCTGAATAAAAAAAAAAATCATAAAATGAAAACTTGCAAGGGAGAAGACATTGAGGCGTATACTCTTACCTTTCCAAGAGAAAATGTTGAATCAGGCTCTTACCTGTGCTGGCCTGCTGACTCTCTGAATTGTGAAAAAGTTCTAAAGACAAAATAAAAAAGCATTCTAGAACAAACATAATGTAAATAAGCATTAGAATCCCTCTCTATTCTTGATGTTGATCAGTGATTTAGACAGCATTGCAGCCAAAGTATCAGCATGATGGCCAGGAAGCTGACATTCTTAACAGAGAGGTCAGCTATGGCAGCCCCCATGGAATTGTATTCCCCATTGACACCCATCATACCATAACAAAAAACCTAAATAATAAAGTAAAACACAACAATGATTGTGGAAAAACTATAGGTTGCGGCCCCTTTATTGGGTTTTAATCAATTTAACCAATAAATAGACTTTAACCTTTATTACCAAACAAAACCTCTGTTAACCATGAACAGACCAGCATGCTTAGTCACTACGACTCAAGCAGCAATAACCTAAACCAACCAAATTATCGTTCACCGACCACTGTCTACCCACAAAGTGGGCGACATTACCAAAACTGTTAACCATGAACAGACCAGCATGGTTAGTCACTACGACTCAAGCAATAACTTACACCAACCAAATTACCCTTTACCAAACATTGTTCCCCCACATAGTGGGCGACGTTAATCAAACTGTTAACCATTAACAGACCAGCATGCTTAGTCACTACGACTCAAGCAGCAATACGACCGCGACAAGGGGAAGTAGAGCAAAGGGGAGGGTGGGCGGGGAAGCAGGTGAAAAGATCCAAAAGGAATTGTGAAGATAATCCAAAGGTGAGTCCAGCTGGCAGTCCTGAGGTAACTGCTGATACTCTCCAGTGACAGGAGTGAATAAAGAAGTGAAAGGTTACACTGATTGCTCAGCTGTTTTCCCACCAAAGGTCTGTCACCAATCCTGTGCTCAGCTGACTGAAGGTAAATCTTCCTAGCAACAGCATGCAGCTTGTAACCTGAAAGACAAAGCAGAAAGAACCAGCAAAGCAGTCCCAGAGAGACATGTACTTAACAGTTACCCCACACCTCTATTTGAATATAAATAGTTTTAAAAACACATGGGTGATAGGGGCAACAATCCCATGAGGCCACTTTTCTTATTTTGCTTTCGTGGCCTAACATTCTTTTGACATAATCACTTTAAGGAGAACTTCCTGTGGTGTCGGTTAGATAGGATGTAGGGGTAAACCTCTCCAGTATAGACACATGCAATAATTAAACTTAACATAGCATTTTTTTCCCCCCATGATCTGCAAAATTTGAAAAAACAAATTGGTTGAAGCTTGTGATTGCCGTGATGGCGACCCGTGATTGCCGTGATGGCGCCGCGACCCACTGCAGAAGGGCTCGCGACCCACTTTTGGGTCGCGACCCATGAGTTGAGAACCACTGCTCTAATGCATCCATCAATAAGAGTATTCATAAGATAGAGTCTTAAGTAGGTTACTTAAAAAAAAAAAAAACTTGTTGCCACCATTGTGACCAATTCAGTTTTGAGTTACCTGTGCTGTTTTCTTTAAATAATTAATTGAAGTTCAATGTTGAATATATCACAAGTAAATGTTTCCATGTATGATATTTTTTAGCCAGTGCACATTCAGATGAAAAGGAGGCCTTGATGTCCGAGCTGAAAATTCTCAGCCACCTGGGACACCACCAGAACATTGTTAACCTTCTGGGTGCATGTACATCTGGAGGTAAGGTTAAATATAGAAATGTGCTTGTATTTTGTTTTACAATTTATGACCAGGCAATTTGCCAAGGGGCAAGCTTTGTATCTTTAAGATATGTATACCTCTCAAGGTGAGTGGCTCATCAAAGGCTTCACTGCAAAATGTCCAGGTTTTTCTCTATATTTATAACTATTCATCCCAGTAAAAGTGCCCACAGTCATTTCCTTTCTGTGGGTGTCAATGCTATAGAGTGCCTGTGAAATTATCCACAACGTTGTGATTGTTTCCTCCTAGGCACTGCTGTAAAACTTTAGTGGTATGTAGAGACGCAACCTCTTCCCCAGATAGCGGCTGGTCATGCCCACATCAGCGCTGTCCTGGTCAGCCCTATTCCTCTTTCCTTCTCATTGACAGCAGCATTGGTCACACAGGCCATTCTTTGAGCTCCTTGGCCTGCTGAAAGGGATTGTAGGACCTGAGTGCAATGTCACCTGACTGAGCAAAAAGGTGTTGCAAAATGGAATTTGCAACTACAATTATACATTTGTATCACCCAGGCTGAACATCAGCTTTAGGCTATGTTCACACCATGTCCGGACCAGATCTGGAGCAGATCTGCAAACACAGTGCAGTGCGTTTTTGCTGTGTCTTATTTTAGCCTAAATGGGCTTTCAGGAACAGTCCAGTGCGTTCCAGTGTGTTTGCATCTGTTTTTGATACATTTCCATGCATTCCAGTGCGTTCAAGACGAGAGAAAATGAGACCAGCAGTATTTTTTTTGTCTGGACCAGAACGGACTGCTCTAGTGTGAACAGAGCCCAGAAATAACATAGGGATACATTGGGATGTTTTTTTGGTCTGTGAACAAACTGTTCTGGTCTGGACATGGTGTGAACAAGTCCTTAACCCAGTGCTCCTTCGCTCCGTCTTAGCCTCATCTTTAATTCCTGTGGTGTTTGAATTAAAGTCAGAGCTAGATTTCTCCCAGGCTTGCTGTCTCTGAAGCAACACTCGGCTTCTATCAGAAGCCACAACTTATATCATGGCCTTACATGCCCTATACATTGTGACCACTTGCCAAGGGGCAAGCTTTGTATCTTTAAGATATGTATACCTCTCAAGGTGAGTGGCTCATCAAAGGCTTCACTGCAAAATGTCCAGGTTTTTCTCTATATTTATAACTATTCATCCCAGTAAAAGTGCCCACAGTCATTTCCTTTCTGTGGGTGTCAATGCTATAGAGTGCCTGTGAAATTATCCACAACGTTGTGATTGTTTCCTCCTAGGCACTGCTGTAAAACTTTAGTGGTATGTAGAGACGCAACCTCTTCCCCAGATAGCGGCTGGTCATGCCCACATCAGCGCTGTCCTGGTCAGCCCTATTCCTCTTTCCTTCTCATTGACAGCAGCATTGGTCACACAGGCCATTCTTTGAGCTCCTTGGCCTGCTGAAAGGGATTGTAGGACCTGAGTGCAATGTCACCTGACTGAGCAAAAAGGTGTTGCAAAATGGAATTTGCAACTACAATTATACATTTGTATCACCCAGGCTGAACATCAGCTTTAGGCTATGTTCACACCATGTCCGGACCAGATCTGGAGCAGATCTGCAAACACAGTGCAGTGCGTTTTTGCTGTGTCTTATTTTAGCCTAAATGGGCTTTCAGGAACAGTCCAGTGCGTTCCAGTGTGTTTGCATCTGTTTTTGATACATTTCCATGCATTCCAGTGCGTTCAAGACGAGAGAAAATGAGACCAGCAGTATTTTTTTTGTCTGGACCAGAACGGACTGCTCTAGTGTGAACAGAGCCCAGAAATAACATAGGGATACATTGGGATGTTTTTTTGGTCTGTGAACAAACTGTTCTGGTCTGGACATGGTGTGAACAAGTCCTTAACCCAGTGCTCCTTCGCTCCGTCTTAGCCTCATCTTTAATTCCTGTGGTGTTTGAATTAAAGTCAGAGCTAGAGTTCTCCCAGGCTTGCTGTCTCTGAAGCAACACTCGGCTTCTATCAGAAGCCACAACTTATATCATGGCCTTACATGCCCTATACATTGTGACCACGGATCGGGTATGCCAAACTCAGTAAACCAAAATAAACTAATGAATAAACAGACACGCTATACACAAAACTGGAGCAGACAGAATGTGGAGCAGTTGTCCATAATAATCAATCAGCTTCTTTCTTCAGTTTCTTCAGTTAAGCTTTGAAAATGAAATATAGAAGCTGATTAATTGGGCAACTGCTCCAGGTTCTATCTGCTCCAGTTTTGATAAATTCCCTTCATTGTATATTTTGCTCTCATTACTGAAAGCTGAACATCAGGTATGGCTTATGAAGCTAGGCCCAATGTAAGTAGGCATATTTTATACCTGAGCATCCAACGAGGATCCTGTAAAGCATTGTAGTAGTTCCAGTTACGGCCAATCAGGTATGGAATATACATACTTACATTGGGATAGGTTGGACCAGTATAACTATGCAGAAAAAGTTATACCTGGAGTACAGCTTGCAATAGAACTAATCACGTTCCCACTGGGCTCTTTATGTCTAGTTAAAGTATAACTATCCGGTCTGCCTAGAAACCCCTTAAAGCAGTGGTCTCAAAGTACTGGCCCGTGAGCTGGTACTACGTGGGCATGCAAAAAAACTCTCACCGCTAAGGTTAAAAACAGAGGTTTAGATACACGTCTTCTGCAGTAAATGTGAAAGCCGCACAGCCACGCCAAGGCATCTCTATATAGTGCGGTCCTAACTCTAAACTATGACAGTCTCCATCTTGGAGCACATGTGGCAAAAGGCTCTTTTGTCACATGTGCTCCAAGATAGGAGCAGCTACATGGTCTGCATCTCTATCGGATGCAGACCGCAGAGCTTCGGTGCTGCACTTGGAGTGATTGGTAAGGTCTGCAGCAGACCTTACTATTCAATCACCAGCGATCATGCCTCCTCACAGCCTCCTCTGGGGGGGATGTGTGTATTATTTTATTTGTGCAGGGGTAGTATTTTTTATGTGTATGGGGGGAATAGAAGCATATTAGGCTCCATTCACACCTGTATCTTTACCTGCAATTAGTTATTCCTGCATCAGGAATTTGCATTTTCCTGCAGTAGGAATCCCTAATCTGGCATTTACAAGTGGCAGCTATCAGTCATTCAAGTTTATGATCAGGTGACAGCAGCTCCATGTAAACGCCTGCACACCGCATGTAATGATATGTGATATGATTACATTCGTTTAGGAATCAATCACTCTCCCTGGACGCTTGTAATAATATCACATATCATTACATGCGGTGTGCAGGCGTTTACATGCAGTTGCTGTCACCTGATCATTAACTTCAATGGGTGACAGCGGCCGCTTGTTAAAGCCAGATTAGCGATTTCTGCTTCAGGAAACTGCAATTTCCTGAAGCAGGAATCCCTAATCGCACCTAAACCTACAGATATGAATGGGGCCTTATTGTGAGTATATTAGTGTCCATAGTACCAAACCAGATATAGTTACATTTTATTTTAACGTATGAAATTTGGCAAGTGTCGAGTGCCCCCCGAGTGAACTGAATTTGAGACCCCTGCTTTAAAGTATCTAATCCTCCTCTTCTGGGATGTATACTTTTTGGTATATATCTGGTATATATATATATACCAGAATTTTACATTTATGGTCTTCTACAATGTTTACCGCCTGCAGCAAACATCTTTCTTTCTGCTGGAAGTAACAAAAAAACAATGAGGGGAATGTATCAAAATCTGGAGCAGCTGTGCACAGCAACAAATCAGCTTTTCTCTTTCATTTTCAAATCTTACCTGAACAAACTGAAGAGAGAAGCTGATTGGTTGCCATGGGCAACTGCTCCAGATTTTGTCTGCTCCCGTTTTGATAAATTCCCCTCAATGTATGCTGACTTTTATCTCTCCGTCTTCATACCAAGCTTCGGCAACTAGCAGCAAGGAAGATTTTGGCTACAGGCTGTAAAGTCTGCCAAAGGCTATGACCATCAGATTCCAGTACATAAGCATCTGGAAAGGGTGGCATACTTTAGATAAGGGAGCTAAGCTGGCAGGATGATTGTACTTTATTGGAAAGTAAACAGATCCTTGAGGAGCCTCTGACAGGACCTTCTTACTTTTTCGGAAAAGAGAGAGTGAGTTTTGAGGGAGTACTAAAAAGTACTTAGTCAAAAAACATACCATTGCTAACCCCCAGGTACACAGAACATGAAGAATAAAATAATTGGTCAAACACGCAAGTGCATTTTCTAACACTACTTACTGGGCAAGTGACAACACAATCTTCAGTAACTATCCATCTACTAGCTTGGAGAGGGGAGAAAGAAAGCAGGAGTCAGGAGCAGGAAGCAGGGAAATGACTTGCCTTGATGTGCCTGTTTGTGGAGACACACACACACAGGGCTAAGTGACGCGCTGGACCCAGGGCTTAGTGACGCATTGGACTCAGGACTTAGCGACCCGCTGGACTCAGGGCTTAGTGACGCGCTGGAGGCAGGGCTTAGTGATGCGCTGGAGGCAGGGCTTAGTGACACGCTGAACGCAGGGCTTAGTGACACGCAAGGCTTAGTGACACGCTGGACGCAGGACCCACCTGAGACCCCACAGATACCTGAGAGTGACCCTGCAGAGTTTCCTCGCCTGTCACCGTCGGCCGATACTCATGTAAGGGTCCCGGGCGGGGCCCCCCAGGCTGCCCGGGTCCCTTACATGAGTATCGGCCATACCTCCCTGATGGCGGCCCTGCACACAAGGTTTGCTCCAAAGGACCCAGCAAGGGAAAAGAGCCACCCTAAACCAGGATATCAGGACCAGTGCTCAGGAGACCAGATGATGCTGCAGGAAACTGAAAATTTTAAACATCAAGGAACAACATCCATTTTATTCAGCATTTGAAATAATGTAAAAACATGTTGACTTTAATTTTACTTTAAAGGAGAACTATGGGGTTAAGGCTTTTCCCCATAGTTCTCCTTAGGGTAACGGGAGGCCACAAACTAGCATCCTCCCATCACCCTAGGCTCAGTATACCGGAGCAGGAGGATCGTAGCGGGGAGGGGGGAACCCAGCCCCTCCCCCTGTCACGGCATAGAGCCGTGACAGGATCGAGAAGTGAGCGAACGCCTGTATGTGTTTGCTCACTTCCCGATCTACTGAGCCGACCTGTGACAGTCTCATTGTCACAGGTCGGCTAGAACTATGGGGTGAGTGAAAAGCACTCACCTCATAGTTCTCCTTTAAAGCAACAGGTAGTCAGCGGGCCCAAAATCCCTGATTTTGTTACATTTTCCAGATGACCAGTTTTGAATGAATCAATACATATTGCAATTCCCAACTTTTATATGAAGCAGCGTTGCACAACTTCAGATTTATCTTCTTACTTCTATATTTGTCTAACACTGATCTTTTGTATCAGCAAACATGCATTGTCATAACATTTAAAGTGATGCCCATAAGCTAATGTTGTTTCTATGTCCTAGGCCCGATTCTGGTGATCACGGAATACTGCCCACATGGTGACCTGCTTAACTTCTTGAGGAGAAAAACAGAATCAATTAACGATATGTTTACTGCCTATTTGACTGATTCCACCGGCAACTACAAAAACATCTCTGTGGAGCAAAAATATGTGAGGTAATCTTTGAAATGCATGTCTCTGGTTTATACTGATATGTACCATACGTTCCAAGCATCTGAGATGAACATGAGGGACACCTTTTAGCAAGAAGTATGTAGGTAAAAACACATTCCTGCCACACTCCATGGAAAATAAATACACCAAAAATTATTGGTTAACCCACAAGTACATTTTTCACCAATATTTCTCCTTTATACTGACTTTTCAAAATAAAAAAATACGGGAGCAGGGAGAAGAGAAGTGGCTTGCCTTGCCATATCTATGTGTTTGTGGAGACACACACAGCTTATTAGCACAGACAAGGGTCGCTAAATAGGACCCTGCAAGGGAAAGGAGCCACCCTAAAACACAATATATGGACAGTTTTTAGAGCAATTTAGAGGTTGAGTTAAAGGTTTAGTGCAGTATAACAATTTTGATGGCTATATAGTATTTTCTACAGAGGTCTACACATGAAACAAAAGAGGGACAACTGAGGAGGAAATGGAGATTTGGTTCCAAATGAGGGGCAGTCCACAGCAATGATATTGGCATACCTACTAGCATGGAGCAAAGACCAATGATAATTTATAATTATCCCATCTCATAGTTACATAGTTACATAGTTAGTCAGGTTGAAAAAAGACACATGTCCATCGAGTTCAACCTATAGAGATATGAAAAAAAAAAGTCTAAACACAATGCTATGCCCACAATTACCCCCTGTTGATCCAGAGGAAGGCAAAAAAAACCCTTTTAAAGCATGGTTCAATTTCCTCCAACAGGGGAAAAACATTCCTTCCTGATTCCATAAGGCAATCGGATATTCCCTGGATCAACAATCTCTGATGCCTAATATACCTATAAGAACTCAATATCCAGTAATATTCTGTGCATTTAGGAATACATCCAGATTTTTTTTTAAACACTTAACTGAGCTAGCTAGAACTAGCTCCTGGGGGAGTCTATTCCACATTGTCACAGCTCTAACTGTGGAGAATCCTTTCAGTATGCAAAAGTTAAACCTCTTTTCCTCCAGACGCAAAGAGTGCTCCCTTGTCCTTTGCAGTGACCTTAAAGTGAATAATTTGGCACCAAGCTCACTATATGGACCATTTATGTATTTATACATGGTGATCATGTCCCCCCTTAGTCGCCTCTTCTCCAGAGAGAACAAATTCAGGTCAGCTAATCTTTCCTCATAGCTGAGCTCCTCCATGCCTCATATTAGTTTGGTCGCCCTTCACTGCACTTTTTCCAGTTCCACAACATCCTTTTTGTGAACTGGTGCCCAAAACTGAACTGCATATTCCAGGTGAGGTCTTACTAATGCTTTGTACAGGGGCAGGATGATGTCTCTATCTCTGGAGTCTAGACCCCTTTTAATACTTTCTATCAGGGATTTGTGGTCAGGGGAGGCAGGTGAGGTAGAGCCTCACCTAGTAGTAAAAGAAAAAAGGTCTGAGCTTCAAGTCTGAAGCTGACAGCTTTTTCTCTATTCAGATCGGCTTGGTTCAGGTTACACAGTAGGGAAAGCCTCCCCGCTGTGTAACCTGTCATGGATGGAGCGCTGCCTGTTAATTCATTACAGGCAGCGCTGCATTCGGCTTTTCACAGGTAGTTAGGTTACACAGCAGCAAAATGGCAAAGTGCCATTGGTCCAAGCTGTCCAATCAAAAAAACTGAGAAAAAAAACCAGTGAGGACATTGATCTTAATGCCTCACCAGTGACGGACAGGGAGGCTCCTCTCTGTCTCCTCCCTTCCTCCTCCCCACGCTGGGGCAGGGCTTCTGCAGGATAGGGGTGGAGCTTTGGCAGTACGGGAGCGGAGCTTCGGTGGGCTGGGGGATGCCTCGACCAGCACAGGAGGCACGGCACTGCTTTCTATCCTGGTGAAAATGGTCAGCATTATGTCCCTGGACATTCCTGAGTGTACTTCTAAAACAAGATAAGACGAATGCCTCCATAGTAGAGACTGAAATAAGGAAAACACAATGCTTGCTGACATTTTAGTTGTTTTTTGCTTATCTATTTTTTTTTAATTCTTTATTTATAGTGACAGTGGATGTAGAAGTGAGGGCGTGTCTTCTTATGTTGATATGAAACCAGTAACTTCCAGGAAAAAGTCAACAGAAGGTATGTTAGGAATAATAAATAAAGCTTAGATAGTAAAGGAACCATGTAAGGAAATATATCACTCAATTCAGAGGCCGATAAATATTTACTTGTGTCTGCTGGGCTCTCTCAGGAATAAAAGTCCTCCTTTCAGCCCACCCTGGCAGGCATTTTGCCAATTTTAGATGGGGCGTTTGGAAACATGTCATGACAAGGGTAGACAATGAGTTCTCTCATTGCAGACTACCCTTCACCAGCCTTTGCTACAGTCCAAGTTAGCAGCATCCAGATTCCCTCTTGCTATAGCAACCAGGAGCTTGTGTATATATTGTTTATAGGGTGGCACAGTGGTGAAGTGTTTAGCACTTCTGCACTAACTTCTAACACTATCTGCGTGGAGTTTGCATGCTCTCCCTGTGCTTGCCTGGGTTCCCTCCCACATTCCAAAAACATACTGGAAGGTTAATTGTAAGATCTTTGAGGACAGGGACTGATATAAATGTGCACGATGTAAAGCACTGTGAAAATTGTTGGCTCTATATAAATAGCTGAAATAAAATAGAAATATTCCTTCTGCAGAGTGTTTGCTTTTTACTACAAGTGATTTAGGTGGCTATAAAGCCGCTTGATCGCTTCTACTGCCTGCAGAAGGTGCCATTCTCCCCAGCCATGTATCCAGCGCTCCACTGGTCCTTCTGGGCAGGGGCGTCCCGAGGCTGGGTGACACCTGGAACGGTAACTGAGTGTCACCCCGCATGCGCGTGACGTCACCACGCGCGTGTGCGATGACGTCATCGCGCACGCGCGGCAGTATTCTGACACCTGCCGGCGGCCATCTTGGTGATGGACGCTGGCAGACAGAGGAGGGGACAGTCACCCGGCGGGATAAGGTCCCCTCCTCTCTCCTGATACTGTCGGGCGTTCGGTCCATGACCGAGCGCCCGACTTTTCAGAGGGGGGTGACACCAAAATGACTGAGTCATTTTGGTGTCACCCCTCCAATGGTGGCACCCCCCACACCCCCCTTGTGACACCACTGCTTCTGGGTACTGATTGTTCCTACAGGGTCATATATTGTGTTTTTCTGCACTAAAATTAACTTTAATGTTTTGTTTTTTTTACTGAAAACATAGGTTTAGCTAATATTATGTGACATAGAAAATGTCAACTACCACCATTTTATTCTATGTTGTCTGGAACAGCTGTGCATAGCAACCAATTAGGTTCTATATTCAGCTTGTTCAGTTAAGTTTTGAAAATGAAAGATAGAAGCTGATTGGATATCATGCACAGCTGCTCCAGAATCTGTCTGCTCCAGGTTTAATAAAGCCCTCCCCTTTAATGTGTTGGGGTTTTAAAGGGTACATTTTAACATGTGTGCACAAAAAAAGGCTCTGGAAGCAAAAAGGATTAAAGGACCTTGACACCAGTATTGCCTGTGATTTACCGGCAACTGATCCTTTTCCCATTATTGACTTACCATGCCTTGTTTCTGTGTGAAGACAGCCATCTTGGTAGATAATCAGGACTTCTCTTCCTATGTGAGAGCTGCAGTAGAGGTTCAGATAGCAGATATCCAAACAATGAATAAAGCAGAAGTAGAGAGATCCATGCACTGCAGATCCTCAGGTACAGCTTTCTCTCCAGTCAGCGGCACAGTAGTGGCATTACCAAATTTCATGAGACTAGCAGTCATAGGCAGCCGTGCCTGAAATCTCAAGCTGCAGATATATAGCTTTGAGCCTAAAAGCACAGGAATTTTACTACTATTTTTCATGAGGAACTCACAGAAAAATATAAATTTTAAGGTACTTTTTAGTCACAATTACTTTTCTTGATGTTCCCTATAACATAGCAAATCATCACTTTTTAAATTCAGGTCTGGGTTAACTACTTATTACAGATTAAACTGTATTAATGCATCCATATTAGCAGCCAGCTATACGTCACCATGTTAAAATGGCCAATACCACGATGTAGCAACCAATTAGTAATTATGTTTAAGCTGATACCTGATCACTGTGGAATTCATCATATCACTGCTAATGCCGAAGAAATAGCTCCTGTACATGTTGGAGCCTTCTTGCACTGTGGCTATAATATACCTTTATATTTTAGGAAATTCTTTGATGGAAGAAGATGACACGGATGATCATTTGCCTTTGGATCTTTATGATCTTCTGAACTTTTCACTTCAGGTTGCCCAGGGAATGTCATTTTTGGCCTCTAAGAATGTAAGTCACCATGTCTAGCACCAACACAAGATGCATAGAAAAAGGCAAAAGCCCCATGTTGTTACTTTTTTGTTTTCTATGCATTCAAATTAGGGGTGTGGTGTCTATCCCTACTGGTTCAACTATTATATAATACAGTGAGTAAAGGATAATACAGTGGAGCTATTAATAGTATTTATTGGTAAATATTTTAAAGGTTCAGTATAACTAAGCAACCATAAACAAAGGTAGCATTACAGGATGGGGAAGTTATACGCAGTAGCCTTCCTGTTGAGTAATACCATTGTGTGACCAGCCTAGTCCAAAATGGCAAATTACACAACAAAATTGTCTGCACTTAGCTACTCTGAACATACTTATACACTGTGATATAGCTTATGCTCAAGGCGTTGACAAATGTATGATATAACTAAACCAGTAATCTGGAAAATGAGCATATGATGGAAAAATGCACAAGTATAGTGAACACTGCATGTAAGTATGATAAGCAGAACTAAAGATATAGGCAGCTGAATTTGTAGATCCTGACTGAAGATCTTGACTTATCCTTGATCCCACCATTTCTTGAACCCTGAGATTCTCTAATGGTGTTACAATATGATGATCTTTCTATGGAACCAACAGATACGTTTACGGGTCAGGGGGAGTGGGCTCAAGCCCAACTTACACAGGAAAAGTAAGGATTTGGTTTTGACTTAAATAACCTATTTCTCTGGGTTTTGATAATTTTGACATGCCGACTTCCCGTAAGGTAACGTCTGCTCATGCATTTTTTCAGAATAAGTTCAAATGGCATCGGCTAGGTTCGTGACCGGTTTACTCAAATTATATTTTAAGACATTATTTTACATAAAGGCAACTGTTGACATTCTATCTCTGCTAATGACCAATTCCTTGTATTACAGTGCATTCACAGAGATGTCGCTGCCAGAAACGTGTTGGTAACTCAGGGTCGTGTTGCCAAGATCTGTGACTTTGGACTTGCCAGGGACATTGAGAACGACAGCAACTATGTTGTGAAAGGAAATGTATGCACAATATTTTTCTAGATGAATAAATATATGTTTAGATAAAAGCTTTTAACCTATATTTTTCCTGTACTCTTTCCATAGTTCTTACAGTTCTTAGTTATCAAATAACCTGCAACCCTAATGAGATCATGGTCTACAGTGAAACCTAACTTGTGTTTATCAGCATGGTGCAGAAAGTTGATAAAAATGTATTGCCTTTGGTTACTGGACTATTTTTCCTTATTCAATGTTATTATAAAATGTACATCAGCATTTTCAAAAGCAAGAAGACTAAATAGCACTGTATTGTGCAAATATTGACTTCTTGTCAAAAGTCAGCAGCAAGACCCTCATCTCCATCTCTAACCACTTCCCTCGGCCAGGTGAAATAATGAGTAACCTAAGAAATCAGTATAGTTAAGCTGCTTGCATGCTGCCCAGATTAACCCCTCAGCAGCATCCGAGTGCAATGTACATTCCAAATTTTGGTGGCACAGAAGTCTAATATATTACTGAGCTAAGTGGTCGAAAAGGGTTTCTTTAACTAATTTTCAACCTCAAACTGGAATTGAGAGGAATTAGGCTAGGCAGGTCAGCTAACTTCCAAAATGATCCTTGTTAAGTCATTTTACTACCAATCTATATCATGAATTAGAAGTATTTTCTGTTTCAATTATTTTTTAAGAGGTAAAAACTTCCAAAAATAATATATGTAATTGCATTACAGTTGTAAAAGCCACGTTGTCATGTTTAATCATAAATGTAAATGGGAAATGGAATTATTAGCATCAATTTGTAGCATTTTATGATGTTAATGTCACTAATAACTCCCCACCCAGTGTACCCTCTCCACACTCTGCATGGCATTGCTAGTTAATAGTCCTCACTGTGGCTGCATAATGCATAAAGTGCCACTAAAATCAGGAGTTAAATCTTAAAAATGCATTCAAGTACCATATTAACATAAATGTACCTTATTTGTGTATCACTCAGCTGTAGATCCTTCAATCATCTCTGAATTCATGCTGTCACTGCCCTTCCTTCTTGAGGGTGGCTACTTTTGTTTCCCATGGTCCCAGTGTGTGTTGTAAAGTAGTCACCCCTCCAAGCTTGCTCCCCTGATGGACCACGATCTCATGTTTACTAATTAGTATTGTTGGTAGTCCTTCACACGAGCAAGCTTGGAGTGGTGGCTACTTTACAACAGAGTTTGTTTCGCTGTTTTAGTAGTATATATTTATTGCTCTCAGTGCTTCTAGTCATCCTGGTCAGCACTTATGTTAACGTTGTATGGCAAAAGAAGTCTTCCATAGGCTGTACAAATCCCACTATCAATAGCACTACGCCCTAATAATGTACTAATTATGGAGAAAGCTCTGCTTTACTGTCCTTCATTTAGGTGAACTTTATGATAAGACAGGAGGGATGTTACCAAGAGGCTCCATCAAAATTTTGCTATGGGTCCCATGATCTGTTGTTACACACCCTGGGACCCCCTTATTTCATTCCAAATGCAAAAGACCCACCAAGCTCTTGCACATATGGGATTTAGCAGTGTGTTACAATAAGCAGTTTTAAAGCAATTGCAAAACTTTTCTATAAGCTTTGAACAGTTTTACTTAAGCCTTTAAAGAACCTTTCAAGCACAGCTTGGAGATGATAACCATAAATTAAACCACAAACAGTTAGCAGGCTTCCCACCAGTAGTGTTAAGGCTTGCAAATGCTTTGTAATAGCCTCTTTTACATACTGTGTTCTTGCAAGCTGAAGTAAATCTCTACAAGGCGTAAGGCTAGTTCTATATGACCACTTGCTGCAGAAGCAGAGCCTCCAGAGCCTGGGCTTGGACCATGCTCTGCTCACATTTCATAAGCTCTTCAAACCTGAAATAATGTTAAAATGGACCACTGTGTCCTAATGGATAAACCGACATGGAGCTTGGTCAATGCTGAAGTGCTAAGCCCTTTGACTGAGTGAACGCAGTTGGAAACAGTACTATATCTAAAACACATTTTTAGCAGTCTGTGGAGACAGAGCCAATGGTGCACAAGCTGGTCTTAAATGACCCTGGTCACTGAGAATATCACAAGATTCCTGTGCATACAGATGTAAAATCAAACAAAATATAACCACCTCTGTCCTTTTAATAACAACATTCCAATTTAGAAACAGAAACTCATGCTAGTATTCTGCTGATATAGTGCTGACAAAGTTGGAAACACTTATTATTTACATCAATAAGCATAAAGCTGGATCTGCTCTTTCACTTTATAAGCCTGTTAGCCGCTCTGTGGTAAAAACTGCAAAATATGCACATCACAGCTATGGCCAAACATTCCAAAACTGACATGTGTTCCATATGTAAACCCTTACAAAAAGAGACAGCCATCTGGGTATGATCACTGCCACATGGCACAGTGACCCTACTAGTTATTGGTGAACTGACAAGGTGCGTTTTCTGATACAGTAGTCAGTAAATAACTGAATTTTCGGGGACAGACCCAGAAACATATCTGGAAATCATCTTCCTTTCTAAAAATGTCTTCTTCTATATTATAGAATTCTCATATCATCATTAAAGGACAACTATTTTGTTTATTTAAAAAATACCATTACCTACCTTTCCTAGGTGTACTTAATTAGTCTATGCTAAACCCCTCACCCACTCTTATCCTAGCAGGAAAGCTATGGCATGTTCTAGTGCTTAAAGCTTCCCCAACTGCATAGTAAGCCCTTCTAGACCTGTGCATGGCGTATTCCAGGCATGATCTTAACAACTAACTTTACCTCTAAAATAAGCCATTAACACTCCCCCCAAAACTAACACTAACACCATACCTAAACCTGCTAACCCCTAAACCTATCACTAACCTTATCTATCCCTTAGAATAAGCCCCAACCCTAACGAATCCCTCATTCCATATTCTTATCTATTGTGCCAGGGGTGTTGCTACGCCCTGGCAACCAGGGCACATGCCCTGGGTCTTCTTCGGAGTGCCTCAGGTCTTTGGAGTAATTGCTACTATCTTTGCTAAACATCGGTCCATGGAATGGATGCACTCTTGCATTCAGTATCTCAGTTTGCATGCATGAAGATACTGTATTAAACATCACTGGCAATATTTGGGTATTGAATGTTGCAATGGCTGTAATTGCCATAATGGCATACATTGTCCGATGTCTAGGGCCACAGGGACCCAGATGAAACTCACACAAGCATGGGGAAGAGTATACAAACTCTATACATACAGAATTCCTAGTAAAAACTGAATAGTAGATCCCATTGCTGAAAGGCAAAAAAAAAATCTAACCATGGGTTTATTTTTTTCATTTTAAGGCTCGTTTGCCAGTGAAGTGGATGGCCCCAGAGAGCATCTTTGATTGCATCTATACAGTGCAAAGTGATGTCTGGTCGTATGGAATCTTTCTGTGGGAAATGTTCTCTCTTGGTAAGCACTAAATGATAATGACGATGACATTTATTACACCAATACAATCAATACCCTATATTGTATTGCATACTGCATATGGGATTTAATTAAGTTGCAGCTTTCTGAGGTGCTCCAGTGGTGCAGAAATAGGTAGTTATAAAATCTGTAACTGTAACCTGGACTAGTGAAATTGGAGAGATAACCACTGGCACTCCACTGCTAAAGGCATGATGTGAACATTCAGTGGTGTCATGAAACTGTATGCGATGGCTAGCAAATGTGTTCCCCATCAAAAGAAAGCAGAGCCAGAGTGGAAGCTGATCAATGACCGGGTGGACGGGGATGTGTGAGAGAGCAAGAGATCAGGTAATGTGCATAGCATAAGGGGACCAATGTGTAGCGCCATATGCAGGGACAAAATTGTGGAAAGAAACTAGGGTAGAAAGTATGAACACGGGCAGACAGGACAAACGGGAAGAGCTATCCGAGATGCATTGTGGCTAGTGGGAGGTAGAGCTGCCGCAGCATTTAGTATGTATAGGGGGGGGGGGGGGTCAGAAAACATAAAGCAGACATTGAAGACAGACCACAGGGAGAACCTGCTCCCGTCAGGCTGTGAACTGTGAAAGAAGCTAGTGGGGACACTGGCAAATAGTGCAATACAGAGGTATGAAGAGCGATTCCGGTGAGTGAATAAAAATGTGAGGTTGGGATATGGACGCTGGTGAGAGAAAGTAGCTTTGCTAGAAATGTGGGCACTGTTGAGCCACCAAAACTCCAGCAGACTAGACTTTTTTTTAATGCAAAATTTGCTTTTCTTTTCTTTTACAGGCAGAAGCCCTTATCCTGGTGTTATTGTAAACAGGAAGTTTTACAAGATGATAAAAGAAGGCTACAAAATGGATTGCCCGGATTATGCTCCATTGGACATGTAAGTAAGGCAGAAGACCTGGAAACCTTATCTTGCACATTGCTTTATAGTAGCTGATGTTTTCATATGGATAACTGGCCAACTTCCAGCCTACTCAGATCTGCTTTACTATTCTATAAAATTGAATTTTACTGAACCAAACACTAATTGCCATGCAATGGTGAGCAGTAACTACAGCTTAAATATTGCTTAGTTTAACAGCATTTAAAGAGTACCTGTTCTATAGATGCTGTGCCCAAACTAGGCAAGTAGAGGGCGAATGACTAGTCACCAGTATTGCCGGTGACCTTCCTGTATCTTGTTGTCCCCATATATGACTTACCTTGTCTTGTTCCACACCTTCTGTGTGTGGAACAAGAGCAGCACTTTCTTCATGTCAGAGCTTCCACCCATCCTGATGACCGGTGGGGGAAACTGCAAGAAACAGCAGGAGAGGGAGAGGACGTTTAAAATAAATGAAGCAGCAGCAGGGAGATCCTTGCACCTAATACAGCGAGAAAGTAAACATTGGGCAGCACATTAGTGACCTAAATGATCTTGCACTGCTATATCTGACTGCTATACAGCTATAAAGCTTCACGCACAGACGTATTTCAAGACCAAAGATAAATCTTTTAAGGTACTGCTTTGGCACAATTAAAATTTCTAGGCGTTCCCTGTAACATATCAGATCTTTACTTTTTGAGTTCAGATCCACTTTAATACTTCCTAATGCTATACCGGGTATTTAATTTTTGTATTATAGATATCGCCTCATGAAGTCATGCTGGGATCTGGAACCTACTAATCGGCCAACTTTTAGCCAGATAACCGATCTTGTCAACAAGCAAATGAGTCTTAACAAAGATCAGGTAAGTGTCCGCAGTTAATTGTGTTATCAGAGGGGCAACACCACTTATCAGATGTCAGTGACTAGAAATTTGTTGCGGAGTAGTAATTACTTGGGTAGAAAGAAAAAGGTATCGGAGAAGTGAGTTTATCAGGTAATGTTAAAACCGTTTAAAGATGGAAGTCAGTCCAATAGATTAAAGAAAAGAATTCCAATTGGAGAGCGTTTCACCAAGATAAATGTTGTAGCCTTTGCATGGGATGAATTTGTGAACCATGTAACAGGTTGCTAAGAACGGCTACAGGCCCTCCCTGTGCCCAAGGTGGAGTTACCACTGCATTGTGTTATGGAATTGAAGCCACAAACTGATATGGACTTTACTATGGAATAAGTATGAAGTTCCTTATAGTTACAGCAGGCAGGCTGGGACAGATACATCTATAACCATGCTTTTTGGTTGTTTTTTAACTGGAGATAAGTGCATCCAACCTAGTTGCTCAACTGGTGAGCAGATACTGATTACATGTTTTGACATTTGTGTCCCAAAAACATTCAGATGGTAGAACATATGTAGCAAATGTGTCCTTTCTACTGACAGTCTATGCAATACTAGAATGGGTTGAAGTTTACATATGACTTTATTTCATACAGTGTAATTTTTACAGCATGTTAGAGTACTATCATTTATGCTCTCATCTATTCTACATAAGCGTTATGTTGTATTTTTCATCACTTAAGGAGTATGCAAACATCATTAGTGGCCAGCAAGATGAAGACTGCATGGTTTCAAAGTGTATGGATACCCAAGAGCCTCTTATTAAAGGGAACAATTACCAGTTCTGCTGATCCTGATACAGCCACAAAGGACTAAAGGGAGAATCTGGCAAGCCTACAGAAGGTGGAATGTGATGTACAGTACATTCCACATATTAAGTTTGGACAAGGGCATTTTATACTGTATTAAGCTAATGACACCCACTCTCTCTACATGAAGCTCAGAGGGGTGTGGACAAATGTAGCATTAATGTCACAGCACTGGAAACGCTATGCAATTACTCTGCTAGATCAATTAACATTGCAAGATACACTGACAATCATACTGATCTTGCCCTAAAAATGCTGAACATATTTGAAACTATCCTAATGTAGTTAAACGCTTGCAATTCTTTATGTTAATGTGCCATGGTACAGTTGCTCCAGCTGAAATTTCAGGCTGGCAATGGGAGAGCTTTGACTGGTTGTTGAAATCAGAAAGAACGGTCAGAGTAAGTGTGAAAATTGGAAAATATTTTTGTAACTGAAGCACTCATATTTGAAAGCTTCAAGCAGTGGGTGCGGGTGAGGATGGAGACAGAATACAAGAGTTCTGGTAGAGTTTAAGCGCATTTCATAAGCCATTTTGAGATATAATGGAGAAATAATTGTGGTCTTACAAAACCAAGTCTCACTTTTTGCAGTAAAGCAATTGTAAAGAATGCAGAACGCTGACAATATGAAGAAATGGCTGTCTGAAAGGAAAACAGCAGGCAAAACAAAACGCAATAGTAAACCTGCACGATTAAAGGTTTCTAAGCCTGTTTTTTGTTTCTGGAGCACTGTTTAAAAGAAGCAAAAAATACTTTTTATGTACCGCAAAGCTTAACATTTTAAAACCACTAAAATATAATTTCCTGTCTGTCTCCTCCTCTGCAATGGTATGTCCTCATATCCTATACACTATGTATAGAACGTGATGACTCAGGGACCTAAGACCATTGCAGCGGAGGAGGAGAGGGGCTCCAGGAACTGGTCTAAGAGCAAGCGGCTTGGAGCATCAGCTGAGTATAACTTTTTTTTTGACCTAGACAACAACAAGCACTTAACCCTTGCAGTGCAGGGCTACCCCCACTGCAAGGGTTAATTAAAACATTTACCTGGAGTTCTTCTTTAAGATGGTATATGTATTTAGTTTAAAATGAATTCTACGTGTGGTGTATCAGCCAAGTGGAAGCAATGTAATGACATTTCTCATCACAATATAGATCTATAGCAGGTGACACAACACGGGTATTTAAGGTGTCATATGGTAAGGAATCCATATTACCCCAATCACCTGGTCTAAGCATGTAAAACCAGTTCATATATAGTCATACTTCTAGCAACAGCATACAATGACATAAGATATCAGTTCGGTATCTCAAAATAAGTGGCACAGGTAATACCTCATTGTGATGGAAAAAAAATCCATGCCGATGTCTCTGAGAGCTCATATTATTTTTTTGTCAGGACAAATCATAGACACACCATACTGTATTCCTTGCATGAGAGCATGTATACACAGTGGCTTCTTGCATTTAGCCCTGCAGTAGCTGCCCCTGTATGGGATGATCAAAGTTCTAATAAGCCCTCACCACAGTAGCATCAACATACGCAGTATATATCCAGCTGCATCTATAGTCCACCACAAAGCAAAGCCTGAATGGCAGGCCTATGAATACAAGTCCCACATGCCACTCACGCAAGTGCAGTCATAGTATGAAATATCAAAAGTAGTCTGATCTTGCCCAATGTGAAGTGGGTGAAAATATAATAACGGGTGAAGTGGTTATCCTGTTGTCCTAAATATAAATATGTACCTTTTCACAGCAAAACTTCTTCCAGGGCTTGCATATTTTTGCATCACCAAGTCTTCCTGACCTTTTCTCAAGGTGTAGGTAGTGTACTCGGACAGTGGGAGGGGACAGGGTCAGTATCAGGATGACATGTAGTAAAGGTCAATCTAACACAGGCCCCACTTCTACTTCTGGAAGCACGTTTCCCTCCCCTAGAGTTAGTACCAGGAGTGCTGAAGAATGCAAACAATGCAAGTTGTACCTTTCTGTAAGTCAGTAGAGCCTTCCTAAACAGAACTTGAATGTCTCACAGATCCAAAACATAAGGGGTTTATTTCTCATTTAAGGAGGCAGAGCCATGCAAATAATTCCTTTGTGCCCCTGTGGCCAAAGTACAGCCAGAGTACAGATACAGCCTCAGATTAGAGTCATTTATTCTGAAAGTCAAAACCTGCAGAGGGCTCAGCAAGCTCTGCCTCATATGACTGGGCTCGGGCAAAGTGATTGGCCACTGGTATAAACCTCTAATTTCTGTAGAAGCATGAAGGATTTCCATACATGTCCAGCACAACTATTTCACAGGGTTCCAGGGGCATATATGGGTGTTGTGGGAGTATGAAGATGGAGTATGAAGATACAGTATGTCGACTTTATGGTCCATAGTATGGATCAAACCTGTTACTTTATTTAGTATGAGCAAAGTACACATTTATACTGGGTTCCTCGCATTGGGCAAGTGGTAAATGTGTACACAGTCAATATATGTAGGTAGGTTGGTGCAAACAATAAGAGCTTTCTTTGGATTACAAAGCAGTATTCATGCATTTTTGCAGAAATATCATATGTGTGGGCAGCTTAAGTGATATCACCTACATCATTTATTACACAAACTCTTGTGTTGCTATTTGTAGTTTGTCAAAAACGTATGAAGTTATTCCTTTTGAAGTACGACTTAAGGTGGCCACACACCTTCCGATTATCGGACGACACTTTTTGTCCGATGATCGAACCGACGTACGATTGTCGTACGGCGGCCCCATTATGCCCAGATTATCGCAAGGTTCAATTAGCCGTAATTAAAGAAAATCACCTGGACAAATTGCGGAAATCAACCGCGCGTATTTTCGTTTGCGCATGAGCAGTGTAGATCGTACAATTTTTGACGTACGGAAACGCCACTAACCTTGCGATAATCGTACGATCGGTCAAAGTTTTCGAACTTGCTTGAAAGTTTTAAGTCGTACGATTGGGCAGTATTTGCGGTTGCACACTGCCCACACTCCTTGCGATTATCGGACGAAAAGTCGATCGCGTACAATAATCGTAAGGTGTGTGGCCACCTTTAGACTGGTGTTTTTTCGTCAGAGTGCATACTATGATTAAGACTTGATTATTTACATTTGTGATTGAACAGGTTTATGTTGTGTCAGGGCCCTGGCATTTGTCTGAGTAAAAGCCTGTCCCCTGCCATCATATTGCAGAGAAGGACCGTAGCTCTTTGTGTAAAAGCAGTAGTCTCTCAGCAACGTTCTGACATATCCCCTCATGAGTCAGAAATATACTGTAATTCTGCAATCAGCGAAGCTCGTGCTCCCTGTTGACGTATTTAGCTGATGTAAACTGAAAGATCAATTGGGCATTAATGTTCAAAGTTCTCTTCACAATGGAAACTGACCATTGCTCTAATATATCTCAGCCTACTTCTTAAAAAGGTTTGCAATCAAGCATCTATTAAAAGGAGAACTATGAGGCAAGTGCTTTTCACTCACGTCATAGTTCTAGCCGACCTGTGACAATGAGACTGTCACAGGTCGGCTCAGTAGATCGGGAGGTGAGCGAACACATACCGGCTTTCGCTCACTTCTCGATCCTGTCACGGCTCTCTGCCGTGACAGGGGAGGGGCTGGATTCCCCCATCCCCGCTACGATCCTCCAGCTCCGGTATACTGAGCACAGGGTGACGGGAGGACGCTAGTTTGTGTCCTCCCGTTACCCTAAGAAGAACTATGGTGGAAAAGCCTTAACCATATAGTTCTCCTTTAACCTCTCATTTTAATGGGCAATGTATTAAAATGATGTCCATATTCTAAGATGTAGCTCATATAAAAAAGAAACAAAAATACCTGCACTGAAATACTAACATAACCTTTATGTAGCTCTATAGAAAGACAGTTAAGCTTATAACAATGACATGATCGAATGTCCAGTACTCAAATGCCACTAGAAAAAGGACGTTTGAAGACTGTCGGAGGCATTTGTAAGACTAATACTCGCCAAAGGAGAAGGATGTCTCTAGAATGAAATGGATCATGTAAAAAAAAAAAAAAAGATATATATGTACTTGTGTACTACAATCTATTTGTGCAGCTACCTTGTACTAACCTTTTACTAGAACAGTCAATACACTGCCAATGAAATCTACATATTTGGAATCTAACATACTCATGTTAATCGTGTTATGCAAATGCTGTATGTTAACATTTTGATTATCTGTACTGATCAGGGCTTCTTGCAACTTTAAAAGTTCCTTTTAAGTTACAAAGACTATATCATTTACTGTGCTGTAATTAGTATTATTGTTATTAAGCAAGCAAAATGCATCACAGAGTAAGAAAGTTATATTTTTACAGTGTCTTATAATTACAAAGATGTTCATATATTGTGAAGTTATGAAGAACAAATCAAATTTAAATCGAAGATCAAATGGGTTTTAGTAATTGAGGGCAGCTATATCAAGGCTTGTGGGAAGCCTATTACACAATCAATTTGATTGGTTTCAAATAAAGTGAGATTAACTAAACTGTTTTCTGATTTTTTTTTATTTAAAACAAATCCTTTGTATTTGAAGCTGCTTTATTATAGTACTTGCAGACTCTGTATCATTATTCCCTACTACATTAAAATAGAAAGTACACACACGTTCACATAGGTTAAACTCGATGGACCTGTGTCTTTATTCAACCTCAAATACTATGTAACATATGTAAACCAATAAAAGTAGATATAAAGAAAAAACTTTTGCTGCAACATTTACTTTCAGTAAAAAATGTGGATCCGCGCTTTATGGATAGCCCTGATTTAATATCCTGATACCAAAGCAGCTGCGCTCTCAACCCTAGGGTCCAAATAGATAAAGTGTGTAAATGTGCAGCGCTAAAAATTAAAGTGCATAATATATATATAAAAAATGTAAATATATAAATATATATAGTTAAATATATAAATATATATAAATTAGATAATAAGACAAATCTATAATATACAGTGTATAACAATTTAAATCCTTATAAATACAGTGTGTCCACAGTGTTAAATATCCAGTGTAAATCCATATATAGTATCAAAAATTACAATATATAATATTCTCACTCATGTGTTTTACCCTAATAAAGTGCAACAGTGATAAATTAGTATCAAAACATTTCAGTGAACAGCTGATGACAAAATATAAAACTATAAGAAAGTCCCAAATTAGAAACCGTGATATGATTGAAATTTGGATCCAATGA